TAGTGGGCTGTATGCCAGAATAGTAGCATTGCCTATTCGAGAGTTCCCTGACCTTCTTGTGGTGGTTGATTAGCCGAAGAGACTTGTGGGGCACGGATTCTTGACTGATTATTAAATTTTGTTTCGTGCTTCTGGTTTGAACCATAAATTAATTAACAGGAATTTGATGAAAATCATTCTCACAAATGGTGTCAAACTGATGGTGTAAGTCACCGAGATGTATGAGTGAGTTGTGAGCAAAGTGTGTGAGCTGTAAATTAGAGAAGATAAAAATGCACAAATTTAGAGTGGTTTACCCTGTTGAAGAGTAGGAGTAGTCCATTACTAAGGGAGAATCTTTCTCCTTGGGGGAAGAAGGAGATACAGTAGAGTTTCACTGACTTAGGCTTACCCTTTCTATAGTAATCATTGCTTTGTATAATTTATTTGTTAAGGAATATTTGGTAATTAGGAGGTCTCCTACCCAAGGTATGGCGTGGCCTTCTAGAAGTAATGTCCCCATGGTTGAGAGTCCTCTACTGAAATTCCTCTGCTGCCTTTTTTAAGGTAGGCCTCTGGTTGAAAGTCGGTTTTGATTGGAGCTATAATTCTAGGACCCATCGCTAACCAAGACTCCGCAAGGTCAGCTCGTCGTGTAACGATCCAGGCTACTCTTTTTTCTGGTTTCATCATAAGCAAATACTTGTCTTCCAAAACTTTGGTTCTTACAGTAGGATTCAGGTTTTCAACAAGTTTTTAGGCTCCAGCTCTGAGATGTCTATCTTTCCTTCTTTATCTTATTTATTTGATCTTAATGTTTTACAAATTAGAACATGGTTTTCAGATTGTGTCAATGCCCCATCTTATTGCCCGGTAAATATCCAATTAAGACCCACAAAGGTAGCCCGTCGGGTCAGTGGCCATCAAGTCTTCAAAACTCAAAACACAAATAGAATAAGACTTGATTACGGTACTGGAAAAAAAATTGATACCGTACATCAAAATTTTAATAGTTTAGTATGTATTTTTATAATTTTTATAGAATTTTTAAATTTTAGGATCGATNAACCAAAGTGTCATACGAAACCTACTAAGATCACCCTTAGCTGTTGGTGTTGATGATTAGTTGGGGGAGGTTCCTGGTAGTCTTCACCTCATTGTTCTCCAACCTGAGCCACAAACCTCCTGAGGTGGATCCTCTAGATAAGAAACTTGGTCTCTTTCTTCTATTGAATGCACTTGTCAATGTCATTACCATGGTCATGGTGGACATTGCAATATTTGTTCATGTGTCTCTTCTATGGATATGACCTCATCTTCAAGGATCATTTGAGGAATTTTTCGTGCTAGACTTGGTGTAGAACTTGAGCCACTGAGGTGTTCATTGATATGTGACGTTCAAGGGTGAACCTTGGTGGGACATTTTGGTAGTGCGGTCCAAGCCTGCCCCAAACGTCTCCCTTCTGAGGAGAAGGGTCTCTACTTTTTCTAGGGCTGGTTTCTTTTCTTTTCCTGTCTCCTGATGGTCAGCTGCAGCTGAAGAGCTACATCGCAATCGTAGGATCTCCCCCCCATCCATTTAATTGTCAACTTTGGCCAACACGTCAACCAAACTGTTTGGGGGTGCTTGGATATATAGAACAATAATTCTTAGGGTTGTAGCCCGACAATAAAGGCTGTTAGAGTCACCTTCTCATCAAGATTGTCTATTTGTAGAGTTTCTAACTTGAAACGGTAAATGTACTTCTCAGTGTCTCCAAGAGTTTCTACTTGACACTGAGGAGGTATGAGGTCACCTTCAAATGACTTCTTGCACCAATAAAATACGAGACAAACTATAGGAAAAACTCTTTGAACAATCTAATCGCCCCTAGTGGTAGCTTATTGTACCTTGTCAGTGGAGAGACTTTAAGTGTGATCACAAAAGCTCGGCACCAAATAAGATCCTGGTAGCCATGCAGCTCCATCAAGTTCTTATACGTGTTCAAGTGGTTGAGCAGGTCTTTGGTGCCTCAAAGGCATCCATGGTGAAACAAAATTTAGTTTAGGGGTTTAATTGAAATAGATAGCAGGAGGCTATTTTGCTATTAGAGGACTTTTGGACAATCTTGGAATTCAATTAATATTAATATAACGCTTCCTGAAGCAGAATCCACAGGGCTGACGGGCTTGATTATATGTGCTATATTGTAGGTGGTGATGTTGAGATTGTGAATTCTTAGTTGAACCTATCTAAGCCTCCGCAACTTTCCGGGTCGGGCCTTACAGGCTATACAGGATTACACAGCACGCCGAGCCAGGCCCCTAGCCAGTCCATCGGGCTGGTCCTAATTGGCTATTTACAGGATTACCCATTTGGTTCACCGTAAGGGGTCTTTTCCTATTTTTTGGAGTTGACTTGTAATATTCTATTGGATAAGTCTTCGGTACCCAAAAAAAATATTTTAGTACGGTAATGCCATTTCTCACTTTTGTCGTATTTGCGATCGATCCTAAAATTTAAAAANATGCCATTTCTCACTTTTGTCGTACTTGCGATCGATCCTGAAATTTAAAAATTCTACAAAAATTATAAAAATACATACTAAACTATTAAAATTTTGATGTACAGTATCAATTTTTTTTCTAGTACCGTAATCAAGTCCTATTCTATTTGTGTTTTGAGTTTTGAAGACTTGATGGCCACTGACCCGACGGGCTACCTTTGTGGGTCTTAATTGGATATTTACCGGGCAATAAGATGGGGCATTGACACAATCTGAAAACCATGTTCTAATTTGTAAAACATTAAGATCAAATAAATAAGATAAAGAAGGAAAGATAGACATCTCAGAGCTGGAGCCTAAAAACTTGTTGANATAGTAATCATTGCTTTGTATAATTTATTTGTTAAGGAATATTTGGTAATTAGGAGGTCTCCTACCCAAGGTATGGCGTGGCCTTCTAGAAGTAATGTCCCCATGGTTGAGAGTCCTCTACTGAAATTCCTCTGCTGCCTTTTTTAAGGTAGGCCTCTGGTTGAAAGTCGGTTTTGATTGGAGCTATAATTCTAGGACCCATCGCTAACCAAGACTCCGCAAGGTCAGCTCGTCGTGTAACGATCCAGGCTACTCTTTTTTCTGGTTTCATCATAAGCAAATACTTGTCTTCCAAAACTTTGGTTCTTACAGTAGGATTCAGGTTTTCAACAAGTTTTTAGGCTCCAGCTCTGAGATGTCTATCTTTCCTTCTTTATCTTATTTATTTGATCTTAATGTTTTACAAATTAGAACATGGTTTTCAGATTGTGTCAATGCCCCATCTTATTGCCCGGTAAATATCCAATTAAGACCCACAAAGGTAGCCCGTCGGGTCAGTGGCCATCAAGTCTTCAAAACTCAAAACACAAATAGAATAAGACTTGATTACGGTACTGGAAAAAAAATTGATACCGTACATCAAAATTTTAATAGTTTAGTATGTATTTTTATAATTTTTATAGAATTTTTAAATTTTAGGATCGATCGCAAATACGACAAAAGTGAGAAATGGCATTACCGTACTAAAATATTTTTTTTGGGTACCGAAGACTTATCCAATAGAATATTACAAGTCAACTCCAAAAAATAGGAAAAGACCCCTTACGGTGAACCAAATGGGTAATCCTGTAAATAGCCAATTAGGACAAGCCCGATGGACAGGCTAGGGGCCTGGCTCGGCGTGCTGTGTAATCCTGTATAGCCTGTAAGGCCCGACCCGGAAAGTTGCGGAGGCTTAGATAGGTTCAACTAAGAATTCACAATCTCAACATCACCTACAATATAGCACATATAATCAAGCCCATCAGCCCTGTGGATTCTGCTTCAGGTGGGCTAATGTTCATGCTAGCCAATGATTGATTCTGTAGAGAAACCTCAAATCTCATGGAAGTCACACTTCATCCCTTACCGTTTGTTGGATGATCCGGAATAGAGTGCTAGAATCCTTGGATTGGCTTGTAAAACTCCAAGATGAATTGACAATGAGATGAACAAGCTTTGAATCAATTATCCCCCGTTTAGTTGACCATCCATCTTATTAAGAGGTCAAGGATTTAATTATTTTCAATGAAAAATATTAATTTCTTAGGTACTAAAACTTTTCTCCTCTTGTCGAGATTGCATTCCATTCTTTTTTTTGGATTTTTGATTCGTTCAAATTTCGTATTATAATATTGCTGAATTGTACTCATAATAGGTAATACAATATATCTTTGTGCATAAAAAATTCATAAACACCCTATATACATGGGAAGTAACTTCTATTTAACCGTTAATTAGAAAACTTGTTTTTTTTTATGAGAAACATTGATTTCATTAATCATAAAAGGCAAAAGTATAAACCAAAAATTAAAAAAAAAAGTAACTGTTAAACACTACAATCCACGCGATGTTATCTAACTCAATATAATGTAAGAAAGAGGGATATGTTCAAATTCTTTAGACAGAGGTAAAAGGAAGCCAAAAAGCAAAGCCTTTCCCAAAGATCTTCAACCTCCTCTCACATTATGTAATGTTCAAATCTCATAGAATACTCGAGGCTCCTATCAGCCTAAACTGGATTGAGAACTTGCTAGTACACGCTGGGCCTCGTCGATGAGATATCTCATTCAAGATTACGATAATCATGGTGCCGCCCAAGGGTGATAGGGGGAATAAATACACGGTCTATGTGCCTAAGATTGAAGACAGGGTTAAGGGCCTCCAATGCCTATAAATAAAAGCTCTCTCTATTAGTCAAATCTAACAAAAAAATCACGATTTTTCCCAACAAATACCCTGTTTTCCCTCAAACAAAAGCCACGTGACCAGCCCGATAATTTCAAATCCAATGGGTTAAGGTTTTAATTTCCCTAATTCTTCCTCCACACCCATACCCGACTCCTGAGGGCTTCTTGCCATCTAAACATTATAACATTGCTTTGGCTGCTTGATCCCAAGATACCTGCGTTCTTCACTTGAATTAGAAACATTTCTATACACAAATAGTCTAAAGCTTCTCTTTCATGCATTCATATGGATGCTCAGCAACTCCGATAATCTATGTCCCTTCTCTGTGCCAACAAGGGCATAACTCATAACCAAATCACCCAAAGATAAGTAATACATTTTAGGAGTGAACTCCCACCAGTTCAAAGTGAAAAACATGCATTTGTACAAAAAATCGCACGTATAAAACAACTCGAATTATTTGGAATTAAGAGCTTGCAAATAGTCGAGGTTCGAGATAAGGGCCATTTGAGACCCACCTCAACAGCACAGCAAATAGTTGATTCTTTTGAACAAGTCTGGGAAATCCCAGAACTAGTAACCAAATCAAACATTATACAGATCTCCCACCTCTCACTCACCTAGGATAAAACCATAGTGGGAGACTTGAAAAAGAAAAAATCTGTTAAAGCACACATCTATACCCTCTATACAACCCCCATAGAAAAATCTTATATATTCCTAAATTACAATCAAATTAAGATAGAAATAGCACCTACCTCACCTGGATAATAGGTCCATGTGAGAAAACAAGGCTTGTCTACAATACGGAGAAAAGACTGTATTTGCTCCGCCATACCTGTAATAAAGAATTACACACCTGCCAAAATTATACCTACACCTGACATTGTCTCACAGATGGCTTCCTTCTTGCTGCCACTGCTTTTCCACAAAGCCGCACATTCCATCGAGGGGATATCAGATTCAGAGCCAATGCACTGGCACAGCTTTGGTCCAATTTTTTTAGTTATAGATTCTGACCGGCTTCTCAAATGTGTGTCGGTTCTGCAAATTCAAATTTGGTCACTGGAAGTGTATAATGAATAGAGAAGCTATCGATCAATACATCACTACCAGCATTACAATGAATATTGTCACTATCTCAATCACCCCACCAATTGAGAGTCTGCAGACTCAAAGGCATTGTGAGTAAATATGGAAAGATAATGAAAACTCCGAAGGTTTATTTCGTAAAGCTAACATGTTTCCATAGACACCCCAAAACAATAGCAGTTTAAAGTAATTAAGAAGCTTATTTTTTATAGTCAGGAATTTGAGGACACTTATATACCTGATTGGCCGCATATGACCTTTTAGGAGCATTGTCAGAGTGCTCCAATCCAAGGTACTGCTCCCAAGCACCATAAACATCTCTTCTCTGAAAATCAAAATGTGAATGTAGATATAAAACTCCAGAAGAATAACCACACACATGCACGTGTTTGTGCATGTGCGTGTGCATGTGGTCAGAATGAAGAGGGAGCTAACGCACCTGAAAACGACTGGACACAATGTCTGAATCCTGAAGATATTCAGGACGACCCAAAGACAAAAATGCAAATTTCCACTGTTGAAAAATAAAATTAAAATAAAAAACAGAATCATTACTCTTGTGCTTTACAGTAAATCAAAAACCGTAGATTTGTCAAAATGTGCAAGCTGCAACAGTCGCTTCGATAGTAGACCAAAAAAAAGTCCAACAGCTAAGGCGAGAAAGTACCTTTGAAAACTCCTCATCTGGAACTTGCAATTTCTTCTGTATGCGCACTTTAACTTCAGTCAATGTCTCACCCTCATGGATGACCAGAAAAAAGGGTTCCCCAAAATTCTGGACCTGCTGTTAAAACATAAAAAAAATGAACAAACACGTCTAATTGGATCTTGGCTTAGTTGTATGTGATAAGAAATTAACGCAACACCCATTGGCAAGGCCTTCCTATATCATTTTTTTCCTGCATATGCACTTACCACCTGGTTTTGAGCCGTGTCTTTCATAAAATGATAAACATGAATCAAGCGATCATGAGGACCAAGGTTCTTTTCCTCTTCAGGGATCTGCAATGAAGAACAAGTTTGGTCAAGATATTCTCCAACAGCACATGTAGCTTCAAGTAGTGTAGTCCACACAAGCAATTAATACCAAACTGGCTAGCTACACGACTTAGGTCAATAGATTTAGCTTTAAGTAATGTAATCCACACAAACAACTAATACAAAATAGCTAGCTTACGTCAATAGATTTAGCTTTAAGTAATGTAATCCACATAAACAGCTAATACAAAATGGCTAGCTATACGAACCAGGTCAATAGAGTTAAAAGCTCAATCTCAGGTTCAGATTTAAACATTCACGACATAGAATACTACGTTGACACGTGACTTCTCCAACGATCCCTTGAACCCAAAATTTAGAAAGTATAAGTTCTTAACTAAAGGGCTATTGCTCGATTCAATCGTGAAGAGAGCGAGCTTTCAAGGATGGGAACAAAGCATCGAATTTTTAGAGCAGCCACATTGTGCTAATATGCCAAAGGTTAGGTTTTTATCCAATCAACCCTTCCTAGCATCCCACATAAGTGCAAATACACTAGAGAATTGTTCTTTTTTACAAAGTTCTTAAGTTCACATGCCCAACAAAAGTGAGTACTGTCCAAACTACTTGGGTTGCCTACATGAATCTTGTCCCCACTGGCAGATCTACTAAAGGGGCCCCGGGGCGGGGGCTGGCCCATCCTCAATTTTTTCAAATTTTATATATATATAACATTACAAACATATATTGTCTTGTGCCCACCTAGTACATACTTTAATTGTATTTTTCTGTTTAAATGATTTTACAAGAGGTTAATATACATGTTTAGTCATTTTATTTGGGTTCAAACTTGAAACTTTCTTCAATTGGTATTGATTTGCATAATTACCACTTTTTTTGTTCTAACCTCTATGTTCTTAATATGAAAGTTGACTATTATTTTTGTCCAACTGACCGTCTCTATTTTTCTTTTACCTTTTTTTTTTATATAATAAAAAGCATTTTTATTAATATTAATAAAGAAAGAAAGGATTATACATCCGAGAAAAATGTGGACTGGTTGTCCATCTCAATAACAAACAAATTCAAAATAAAACTAATAAAAAAAAGTTCCAAAATCAGGGCATTTGAAACATCACATGCCACCATCCAAGAAAGTCATAGTATCTTCCACAAGAGGCCACCCAATTTGATGTGATATAAAAGAGAGGAACATTCTCAGATTCCTTTGTCACCAAGGCCCAAAATGAAGCTAAGAAATATATCCTATCCCACATCCCTTCCACTACTTCCTCCCTATTTTCAAAAATTCTCGAATTTCTCTCTAACTAAATAATTCAAACAATTGCTTAAAATTGCACACCGCCAAAGGATAAAACGCCTTTCACTACCACCCAAACCTTTAAACTCCACACAAAACATTGATGAAAGAGAATATGGGGCAACCTAACACTGACCAACCATCTCAAACAATTTATTCCATAACTACACTGCATTAGTACACTGTAGAAACAAATGGTCCACATTCTCACAACTTGCTCTACACATCATTGCAAGCACAAATTTGTTTAAGACCTTCTCACTTGAAAAGCATCATATGTATGAATCTTCTGATGAGCAATTACCCATGCACAAACTTTCACTTTTTGAGCCACTTTAGCCTTCCAAATATTCAATGACGGATAAAATATAGGAATAGAAATATCATCAATCAATGATTCAGAAAAAAGACTTGCATGAGAGAGAACCCAATGGATCAATGACTCAACACTTTTTATCTGACGAACCATGGTTCAAATTGACTAGTTCAAGTAAAGAAAGTAAAGGCACCAATACCGAAGACTCTTTGTCCTTGTCATTGAGATTTCTACGGAATCCAAAATCCCAAGCATGTGGAAAGAAATTCAAGATAGTTGAAAAAGACGAGGGAATAAACTTAACAACAAGAAGTCCCCAACCCAAATATCCTACCAAAATCTAACCCTCAATCCATTACCTACAATAAACTTGAGCTTTTCAAAAAAGCAAGTAATCCCTAAGCCATTAGCATCCCACTCATTAATTTGCATGTCATATTTGCTTTCAATAACCGAATGTCAAATGTGTGTAGGTTATCCCATCGGCGGGGATCTTTTCCAGTTGTTCCACCACATTCTAATGAGTTATGCTCCAAAGGAAGTCTTCAAAGTCATCTACTCACCAAGTCATATTTCAAGCCATTAAATTTCCCGCAAAAAGTTCACCCTTTAATTTTGATATCGACACTACCTCCCAACTAACCAAATGATCCTTCTTACCCTCACCCCTACCTTCCCATAAGAACTCTCACATCATCCCCTCAATCCTCTTAGCTAACCCACACGACATCTTAAAAAAGTGCATAAAATAGATAGGAATGCTCACCAACACCACCTGAGCTAAAGGTCAATCTTCCCTTACAGAAATGAAAGCCATTTTCACTCATTCAACATTTTTTCAATCTTTTGAATAACCAGATCCCAGAAAAACAAATAACGAGTTATCTCCTTAAGGTAGGCCTAAATACTTAAGGAGCCACCCTCCCACCAAACATCTCAATGCCAATGTCAATCTAGATTTTTTTATCCTGGTTCGAATTTATTACCACAATTAAGGTTTGTTTTTTCATATTAACTTTAAGGCTAGAAATCAACTCAAATACAACAACAATTTTTAGATTCGAGAATTTTTCCTTATCCCCTGAGAAGAAAATAATAGCGTTATTGGCAAACTATAAATGTGACACCGATTCCCTATCCCTACCAATCACAAAATCCTCCACCAAATTAAACTCCTTTTCCCTCAACACTAACCTACTAAACCCATCCAACAGAAGAGTAAACAAAAATGGTGATAAAGAATCACCCTACCTAAGGCCCCTTAAAGCCTTAAACTTCCCCTTAGGCCTGCCATTCAAAATAACAAGAAATTCATTGACTACAAATACCATTTAATCCACATCCTCCACCTTGATCTAAACCCTTTAGATTCCATGAAAAAGTTCAAAAAGTTCTTATCAACATGATCATATGCTTTTTTAAAATCAATCTTGTAGATAAAACCCTCCATCCCTCTAACCCTATATTCTTCTACCACCTCATTAACTACAAGAACTACATCCAAAATCTGTAAGGTCCTTGATACACCAAAATAGTCTCACTTAAGCACACTTTGAGCCTTAAAAACAACACTTTTGCAAAAGTCGCATACAAGTTTACAATAGACTGATTGGCCTAAAATCATTAATCTTCAAATAATTGTCTTTTTAAAGGACTAAGCAAATAAATGTAACATTTGTAATTGCATTAATCTCCCCCTTACTAAAAAACTCTTCAAACACTTTCATCAAAACATTTTAATCACATCCCAACACTCTTGAAATAAAGTCATAGTGAAACCATATGGTCCATGAGCTTTCACTTGACTACACTCAAACACCATTTCCTTAATTTCATCCATCTCAAAAGGTCTTCCCAACCAACTTACTTTTCGTAAATCAATATGGCACCAAAAAAAACACCCTCCTATCTAGGACTAAACATTATTCTTCCAAATTTATATTAGAAAAAGACCAAATGATCTCCATCTCAATATGTTCCTCATCCTTAATAATCACTCCATCATCAAGTTTCAACTTATCAAAGACTTTCTTTTTATTGTTAGTTGTCACTTTATGAAAAAATTTAGAATGATAGTCCCCTTCCTTCAACCACTTAACTCTAAATTTTTTTCTCCAACTAATCTCTCTTGTTTATTTCACTCCTCCATCTTCTACTCTAAAATTAAGCTTTTCCATGAACTTATAACCCTCCCACCCTTGAAATGTTTTCTCCACCCACCAATCTCTAACCTTTCCCCTAAAAACATAATTTTCAAATCTGAAAAGACATGGACTCCATCTTACAATTGAGTGATCAAAAACAATGGGACAATGATCTGACACAAGTCTCCGTAAAGCCTCTTACCTAACTTCCAACAAAACAAACCTCCTAACCCACCGAGTAAAAAAANAGCTTTTCAAAAAAGCAAGTAATCCCTAAGCCATTAGCATCCCACTCATTAATTTGCATGTCATATTTGCTTTCAATAACCGAATGTCAAATGTGTGTAGGTTATCCCATCGGCGGGGATCTTTTCCAGTTGTTCCACCACATTCTAATGAGTTATGCTCCAAAGGAAGTCTTCAAAGTCATCTACTCACCAAGTCATATTTCAAGCCATTAAATTTCCCACAAAAAGTTCACCCTTTAATTTTGATATCGACACTACCTCCCAACTAACCAAATGATCCTTCTTACCCTCACCCCTACCTTCCCATAAGAACTCTCACATCATCCCCTCAATCCTCTTAGCTAACCCACACGACATCTTAAAAAAGTGCATAAAATAGATAGGAATGCTCACCAACACCACCTGAGCTAAAGGTCAATCTTCCCTTACAGAAATGAAAGCCATTTTCACTCATTCAACATTTTTTCAATCTTTTGAATGACCAGATCCCAGAAAAACAAATAACGAGTTATCTCCTTAAGGTAGGCCTAAATACTTAAGGAGCCACCCTCCCACCAAACATCTCAATGCCAATGTCAATCTAGATTTTTTTATCCTGGTTCGAATTTATTACCACAATTAAGGTTTGTTTTTTCATATTAACTTTAAGGCTAGAAATCAACTCAAATACAACAACAATTTTTAGATTCGAGAATTTTTCCTTATCCCCTGAGAAGAAAATAATAGCGTTATTGGCAAACTATAAATGTGACACCGATTCCCTATCCCTACCAATCACAAAATCCTCCACCAAATTAAACTCCTTTTCCCTCAACACTAACCTACTAAACCCATCCAACAGAAGAGTAAACAAAAATGGTGATAAAGAATCACCCTACCTAAGGCCCCTTAAAGCCTTAAACTTCCCCTTAGGCCTGCCATTCAAAATAACAAGAAATTCATTGACTACAAATACCATTTAATCCACATCCTCCACCTTGATCTAAACCCTTTAGATTCCATGAAAAAGTTCAAAAAGTTCTTATCAACATGATCATATGCTTTTTTAAAATCAATCTTGTAGATAAAACCCTCCATCCCTCTAACCCTATATTCTTCTACCACCTCATTAACTACAAGAACTACATCCAAAATCTGTAAGGTCCTTGATACACCAAAATAGTCTCACTTAAGCACACTTTGAGCCTTAAAAACAACACTTTTGCAAAAGTCGCATACAAGTTTACAATAGACTGATTGGCCTAAAATCATTAATCTTCAAATAATTGTCTTTTTAAANTATTAGGTCCATACACACCAGTCAACCACCAATCTAACTCATCCCTATGTTTGACTCGAACTAAAATTATAAATTCCTCTTCAAGAGATTTCTCCACCTATACAACTCTTTCATCCCAAATGATAATTTTAACCCCCGAGCTCTCCACGGACAATAGAAAAACCCAATTTTTAAACCTAGAACCCCACACACTTTTAATCACTCTGATATCCACTACCTCAAACTTCAATTCTTGCAATATCACAATATTAGGCCAATATCTCACAAGAAACTCTTTTNAATCAATATGGCACCAAAAAAAACACCCTCCTATCTAGGACTAAACATTATTCTTCCAAATTTATATTAGAAAAAGACCAAATGATCTCCATCTCAATATGTTCCTCATCCTTAATAATCACTCCATCATCAAGTTTCAACTTATCAAAGACTTTCTTTTTATTGTTAGTTGTCACTTTATGAAAAAATTTAGAATGATAGTCCCCTTCCTTCAACCACTTAACTCTAAATTTTTTTCTCCAACTAATCTTTCTTGTTTATTTCACTCCTCCATCTTCCACTCTAAAATTAAGCTTTTCCATGAACTTATAACCCTCCCACCCTTGAAATGTTTTCTCCACCTACCAATCTCTAACCTTTCCCCTAAAAACATAATTTTCAAATCTGAAAAGACATGGACTCCATCTTACAATTGAGTGATCAAAAACAATGGGACAATGATCTGACACAAGTCTCCGTAAAGCCTCTTACCTAACTTCCAACAAAACAAACCTCCTAACCCACCGAGTAAAAAAATCAATCCAACCTCTTGCAAACTATACTACTCCTAAAATTAGACCAACTGAAAACATCATTCGCAAAAAAGGATCTCTCAGTTCACTTTCCCTAATAAAACAATCAAAATCCACATACTTCTATTAGTTCTACTGCCATTCCACTTCTTCGAGGGATATCTAACGACATTGAAGTCCCCAACTATACACCAACAAGGACAACATATACCAAACAAACCCGCTAACTCTTCCCACAAAGGCATCTCAATCCTAGGTTTATTAGGTCCATACACACCAGTCAACCACCAATCTAACTCATCCCTATGTTTGACTCGAACTAAAATTATAAATTCCTCTTCAAGAGATTTCTCCACCTATACAACTCTTTCATCCCAAATGATAATTTTAACCCCCGAGCTCTCCACGGACAATAGAAAAACCCAATTTTTAAACCTAGAACCCCACACACTTTTAATCACTCTGATATCCACTACCTCCAACTTCAATTCTTGCAATATCACAATATTAGGCCAATATCTCACAAGAAACTCTTTTATTGAACACTTCTTTTTACAAGATCCTAATCCCCTATTATTCCAAGAATCTTCATAACAAACTAAAGCTCCCTCGTCCCCCTCCTTAACATTCTCACCATCATAATTTACCACAAAGTGTAAATGTTTTAGCTCTCGAACCTCTCTTGTCTTTCTTAAGCTTCTCCCTTCCCCTTTAATTTTCCCCTTCTTCTTAGTGGGAGCAATGNCTCTTGTTTATTTCACTCCTCCATCTTCTACTCTAAAATTAAGCTTTTCCATGAACTTATAACCCTCCCACCCTTGAAATGTTTTCTCCACCCACCAATCTCTAACCTTTCCCCTAAAAACATTATTTTCAAATCTGAAAAGACATGGACTCCATCTTACAATTGAGTGATCAAAAACAATGGGACAATGATCTGACACAAGTCTCCGTAAAGCCTCTTACCTAACTTCCAACAAAACAAACCTCCTAACCCACCGAGTAAAAAAATCAATCCAACCTCTTGCAAACTATACTACTCCTAAAATTAGACCAACTGAAAACATCATTCGCAAAAAAGGATCTCTCAGTTCACTTTCCCTAATAAAACAATCAAAATCCACATACTTCTATTAGTTCTACTGCCATTCCACTTCTTCGAGGGATATCTAACGACATTGAAGTCCCCAACTATACACCAACAAGGACAACATATACCAAACAAACCCGCTAACTCTTCCCACAAAGGCATCTCAATCCTAGGTTTATTAGGTCCATACACACCAGTCAACCACCAATCTAACTCATCCCTATGTTTGACTCGAACTAAAATTATAAATTCCTCTTCAAGAGATTTCTCCACCTATACAACTCTTTCATCCCAAATGATAATTTTAACCCCCGAGCTCTCCACGGACAATAGAAAAACCCAATTTTTAAACCTAGAACCCCACACACTTTTAATCACTCTGATATCCACTACCTCAAACTTCAATTCTTGCAATATCACAATATTAGGCCAATATCTCACAAGAAACTCTTTTATTGAACACTTCTTTTTACAAGATCCTAATCCCCTATTATTCCAAGAATCTTCATAACAAACTAAAGCTCCCTCGTCCCCCTCCTTAACATTCTCACCATCATAATTTACCACAAAGTGTAAATGTTTTAGCTCTCGAACCTCTCTTGTCTTTCTTAAGCTTCTCCCTTCCCCTTTAATTTTCCCCTTCTTCTTAGTGGGAGCAATGATAAAGTCAACTTATCTAAAATATCTTAAGGATTATCCATTTTTCATCATTGGACATAAAACCCCTCCGCCCACAAATAATCCCCCTCTCTCTCCACCTTCAAACCACTCTTATCTCCTTCTAGCAACCAATAGCCCCATTAGACATAGTCTGAAAAATTTCGTAGAGCAGACCTAACAATGGAATCCCAATTATCACAACACAACTGACCACCCATAGGCTCAGGCTTACACAAAAAACTCTGGAATTCCCTCCCATAAAAACATAGATCATTTCCCTGCCGTATACATACTAACCACCCATGACAGGAATAGGATTGACCCACCCATACTCACCCAATTTCCGATTGTCTAGCCCCCTCACCAAACCACCCAAATTCAATGACAACACACCTACCCAAATATCCCCTCCACACAAGCCTTTTGGGGCATGCAGTGCACACCCGAAGTGCAAAAAAGTGCATTAGGAATCACCTCGTGAGAAAGACTTACCTCTTGTTGAAAATTTCCTAATGGAACTCCGGCACCTGATTTTTTTACTTAATCTATAATCAATAAAAGTAAAATAGTATATTTACATTTATAACATATCCGAAAAATGAATATTTAGTAACTACAAGAGTCAAAAAATCAATAAGATGCAAAGAGAAAAGAACAAAAAAGGAGACAAANACATCATATCCGAAAAATGAATATTTAGTAAATACAAGAGTCAAAAAATCAATAAGATGCAAAGAGAAAAGAACAAAAAAGGAGACAAATTATAACCCTTTAAAAATGCAAGTTTTCATATTCGAAAACATTACGTGGTAACTCCATTGTCTATGACATCGAAAGTATCTTTCCGTACAATCAAGCTATCAATTATTCATTAGTAATGCATTCGGTTACACTTACGCAACCTATTTTTCACAATCTTTAACTTTTAGTTTACTTTACATCTTTTAAAATTAAAATCAAGGTATCAAAATACCCAAGGCATTAAACAAAAATTTTAGAAGTAAGCATAGTAACACGATTGAAACCTAACTCAAACACAATAAAAAAACTATCAACCATTAAAGAAATTTTATCAACTGTCAACGAGTTTTATGGAGGTTGCCAACTAATGATAGTGGGCAGACTTAAAGGAGAAGATGTTGGGTTTGGTCTCTGAGCCTTTATCTGGGTTGGTCCAAATAAAGTTGGCTATAAAGATAGGTTAAATAATGAGGGTGGGCCTCATAGGTCTTTTATTCCAAATGACCCATTTTTATTTAATAAAAGGTTTAGTCCAACCCCACCTTTAAACGAACCACCAAATGCAAAGAGAAGAAATGCTAGGGCTATATTAGCGTCTGGCATTCAGGACGAGAACGACGAAGGAAGGGGCTATGATCGAAGGTCTACACTCGAGGGAGCTTCGAAGGAAGAGACAGTAATGAGTGGAGAGTTGGTCTACCTTTCTTTCTTTGTTTAGTTATGTAACTTTATATCATGATTCTGTGCATAAAAGATGTTGGGTCCCCGACCNGAAATACCAAAGGCATTAAACAAAAATTTTAGAAGTAAGCATAGTAACACGATTGAAACCTAACTCAAACACAATAAAAAAATTATCAACCATTAAAGAAATTTTATCAACTGTCAACGAGTTTTATGGAGTTCGCCAACTAATGATAGTGGGCCAAACTTTAAATAATAATAGAACATGAGAGGCAGACTTAAAGGAGAACATGTCGGGTTTGGTCTCTGAGCCTTTATCTGGGTTGGTCCAAATAAAGTTGGCTATAAAGATAGGTTAAATAATGAGGGTGGGCCTCATAGGTCTTTTATTCCAAATGACCCATTTTTATTTAATAAAAGCTTTAGTCCAACCACACCTTTAAACGAACCACCAAATGCAAAGAGAAGAAATGCTAGGGCTATATCAGCGTCTGGCATTCAGGACGAGAACAACGAAGGAAGGGGCTATGATCGAAGGTCTACACTCGAGGGAGCTTCGAAGGAAGAGACAGTAATGAGTGGAGAGTTGGTCTACCTTTCTTTCTTTGTTTAGTTATGTAACTTTATATCATGATTCTGTGCATAAAAGATGTTGGGTCCCCGACCATACAAATTTGTTTTCATGATTGATGATTCTTTATTTGATTCCTTGATTGATGATTCTTCTATCCATCATTGAAAATTTGGAAAGCCAAGGTATCTTTGAAAGTGTAAGAATGTGCATGGCAGGCTGCTCATGGTAAGATTAACACAATTGATTGCTCTAAAAAGGAAGACACAAATATTTATTACCACAATGGTGTGTTATGTGGAGGAAGGACTGTGAGGGTTTGGATCACTTATTTTGGCAATGTCTGATTGCTTGGTCTGTGAACAAGTGTGTTGAGATGGTTGTACACTCTTGGGTGACTCCNCTTTAGTCCAACCACACCTTTAAACGAACCACCAAATGCAAAGAGAAGAAATGCTAGGGCTATATCAGCGTCTGGCATTCAGGACGAGAACAACGAAGGAAGGGGCTATGATCGAAGGTCTACACTCGAGGGAGCTTCGAAGGAAGAGACAGTAATGAGTGGAGAGTTGGTCTACCTTTCTTTCTTTGTTTAGTTATGTAACTTTATATCATGATTCTGTGCATAAAAGATGTTGGGTCCCCGACCATACAAATTTGTTTTCATGATTGATGATTCTTTATTTGATTCCTTGATTGATGATTCTTCTATCCATCATTGAAAATTTGGAAAGCCAAGGTATCTTTGAAAGTGTAAGAATGTGCATGGCAGGCTGCTCATGGTAAGATTAACACAATTGATTGCTCTAAAAAGGAAGACACAAATATTTATTACCACAATGGTGTGTTATGTGGAAGAAGGACTGTGAGGGTTTGGATCACTTATTTTTGCATTGTCTGATTGCTTGGTCTGTGAACAAGTGTGTTGAGATGGTTGTACACTCTTGGGTGACTCCAAGATCCATTTCTTCTATGCTTTGTGTGGATTTCATGGTTTTGGAAAGAATAGTAAATGAGTCACTCTTTGGGAGAGTGCAATTTTTACTGCTATGTGGTTGATTTGGATGGAGGGAAACATAATAATTTTTAAGGATAAATGTGATGTGGTTGTGGGTTTATGGAAGTGTATTGATTTTCTAGTTTCCTTTTGGACATCAATTACTAGGAGTTTGACAACATTGCTCTTGTTGGCATTTTGGGGAGCTGGCTTTCCGTTTGTAGCTGCTAGATGAATTTTATGTTTCATGCTTGCTGCCTATATGGTTTTGTTANGCTCTAAAAAGGAAGACACAAATATTTATTACCACAATGGTGTGTTATGTGGAAGAAGGACTGTGAGGGTTTGGATCACTTATTTTTGCATTGTCTGATTGCTTGGTCTGTGAACAAGTGTGTTGAGATGGTTGTACACTCTTGGGTGACTCCAAGATCCATTTCTTCTATGCTTTGTGTGGATTTCATGGTTTTGGAAAGAATAGTAAATGAGTCACTCTTTGGGAGAGTGCAATTTTTACTGCTATGTGGTTGATTTGGATGGAGGGAAACATAATAATTTTTAAGGATAAATGTGATGTGGTTGTGGGTTTATGGAAGTGTATTGATTTTCTAGTTTCCTTTTGGACATCAATTACTAGGAGTTTGACAACATTGCTCTTTTTGGCATTTTGGGGAGCTGGTTTTCCATTTGTAGCTGCTAGATGAATTTTATGTTTCATGCTTGCTGCCTATATGGTTTTGTTATAGCTGTTTAGCATATGGATTGGACTACTTTTCCGCCCTTGCTCTCTTATTGTACTACCTACTGATTATTATTACAAAAACTTTTATTACTTGGAAAAAAAGGCTACTGTTCAGGGTTGTGACGAAGGTGATTTCTAGTTTCAATGAAAAAGGGTTCGAGATGATTTTGATTTCAATAGAGAATATGAGGCATATGGCCTTCAGGAAAGTTCGATAATGGAGCCGGAAGAGGGTTATGTTGATATGGAGGAGATTGAATTGCACTCAGAAGAGGATGATAATACATATAGCCAGTAGGTGTTGAATCAGATGATGATAGCTGCGGGCACAAGATCAGAGTGGAGTTAGGANCGAGATGATTTTGATTTCAATAGAGAATATGGGGCATATGGCCTTCAGGAAAGTTTGATAATGGAGCCGGAAGAGGGCTATGTTGATATGGAGGAGATTGAATTGCACTCAGAAGAGGATGATAATACATATAGCCGGTAGGTGTTGAATCAGATGATGATAGCTGCGGGCACAAGATCAGAGTGGAGTTAGGAGATTTGTTGGTGATGTTCAAAGGATATTCGATACAAAGGATACTGAAGAGGGTGCTGGGGGATAGGAATTTAAGAATTTTTCTGGCTCCGCCCTGCTTGTCCGGCCTTTGTGCTCTATCAAGAGTCCGCAAAGGTTGTACCAATTTCTAAGTCAATGCTAAACATCAGCAAAAGCTACTCAATGAAGTGGTATACAGGTTATTATGAGCCTGAATTTAAGTCCAATGGCGACGCGACAATTGNCTGGGGGATAGGAATTTAAGAATTTTTCTGGCTCCGCCCTGCTTGTCCGGCCTTTGTGCTCTATCAAGAGTCAGCAAAGGTTGTACCAATTTCTAAGTCAATGCTAAACATCAGCAAAAGCTACTCAATGAAGTGGTATACAGGTTATTATGAGCCTGAATTTAAGTCCAATGGCGACGCGACAATTGTAATCTTCAAAGCTTCTTTAAAAAAGTTAAAATATCAATATGAGGATTAATTTCATTTTGTAATGATAAATATAACATTACAAAAGATCAAAAGAAACTATAGACATGTAAGCATGCGTAACCTCAAAAAACATACCTCCTCTGCGCGTAATGTCCAGTATTGATCATTAATGTTCTCGATCTTTTCACTAAGTGGAAAAATCTGCAGATGTATCGGGACAAAGATTACATATATGACAACATAACCCATAATAAGAGGCCTTACAGTATATATCTAGCAATCTGACCAAAAACATGAAGCTAATCCAAGGCTGAAATGTGGAATATCCAAGCTTTAAAGGTACGCTAGCAATGACTCAGTAGATTTAAGAACCTTTTGCTGCCTAGTTCACAAAAATTTTCACTTCTTTACCATCACTGTTAAGCCAAGTAGTAACATAAAATTTCAATAGTTCATTCAGTGTCTTAAATAATAGAAATTGATCCTAGTATCAGTAACTGCAAGGACCTCTAAAATCCTGGAAGACAGTTTGTAAGTCTATAGACAAAAGGGGATTGGGACTTGGTAATTTGGTGTCTAAAAAAATTTCCTTAATAGGAAAATAGTTATGGAGGTTCCCGTAAGAACTTAACTCCCTTTGACATAAGGTAATAAGGAGTACGTATGGCCTTCAAAGGAATGGGTGGGATACTAAGTCAGGGAATTACACAACACATNGCATAGGTAATAAGGAGTACGTATGGCCTTCAGAGGAATGGGTGGGATACTAAGTCAGGGAATTACACAACACATATGAGCCCCTAGAAATTCATTTCTCAGATTACTCTTTTTTTCTTCCTTTGACACATTATAGGGTGGGAGATGGATCCAAAGTTCTATTTTGGGAGGATACATGGATTAGGGACTTATATTTTCACAATATCTTTCCTCGTCTTTATTGTTTATCCTCACTCCATGAAGCTCCTATTTCCTCTTTTTTTGTTAAGGGGACGAACTTATGTTCTTGAGATATTCATTTCTTTAGGCATCTTAATGATAGGGAACTAATTGATTTGACTTCCACATTCTTAGATTTTCAACCTTGTTCTTCTCATGATAATAGGATTTGGACAGTGGACAAGTTTAAGATTTCTCATGTAAATACTTCTATTCACACTTTTTTAGCTCCAGCAACAATGATTCTTTCTCTTTGGCCAAGTATATTTGGAAAGCCAAAGTTCCTTTTAAAATTAAAGCTTTTGTCTGGACTATTGTCCTTAATCGGGTGAACACTAATGATTTGTTGCAAGTTTGGAGGCCCTAAAAAACATTGAACCCTAATGTTTGTCTTACTTGTTTGTGTAGTGGAGAATCGAATGCTCATTTATTTATTCACTGTGGTTTTGCATGGAGGTTGTGGAATACATTATTCAGTTTGATTGGTGAGACTTGGGTTTGTCCTTCTATAGTGTAGCAATTGTTGCAGATTAATTATTGGTGTTTTGGAAAGAAAAAAGGAAGCTAAAGTACTATGGCATTGTGCGTCATGGCAATGCTTTGGTGTATCTAGATGGAGAGAAATGCTATAATTTTCAATAACCGTTCTTTACCTTCTGAATGAGTATGGGAACGATTGGTTTTTATGGCTTCACTTTGGACCAAAGCCACGTGAAACTTTAGAGAGTTTTTGTTGTTGGATCTTCAAAGGAATTGAATGTCAGTTCTACTTTAGTTTTCTTTTTCTCCTTTTAACCAAAAAAAAAACACTTGAATCTTGGAAGATTTTAGCACCAAAAAAAAAGGAATCTTGGCAGTTTTGTTTGATGATTGATTTTGTAAATGATCCTTCTAATGCTAAACTATAGTTATACACCATACGATTAGTCTGAGGCAGGTGCGAAGTGCAAATATTTGGAAGAAATTTGCTGAACTGAAAATTACATTGATAATGAATTTGTAAAACATTAAGAGATGTTTGGAAAACCAAAATTTGGCAATTTTCAAAGGCTCCTCTGTGTTTCACAAAAGTTATTGCTTCAAGAAGTAAACCAAAATTTGTTTCATGTGATTCCAAAAAAAATGTGCGCAAGCTGCATATAGCTTATGATTCACTATAGAAAGGTACAAAAATAGCTTGTACAAATTCATTACCTTGTAGATCTTGTGATAGAACACCTCAAGTAATCTAAGTTCTGCATTTGGATGAGACAACTCAACCTGTTCAATGTTATCGCACGACAAATGAGTATATTTCCATCCTAAAGTGTACACAGAGAAAATTTCTGGAACTTGAGAATATGAACAGGAAAGGAAATGCAAAATCTCAGGCAAATTTCCAACTTGTAATTTTAAGAACAAAATGTCACCACAAAGGATGAAAAAAATATCAGAGAGGAGACAAAGTACAGTTTGAAAGCAGAAAAATTGCAGAGTTACCTTTGTCTTAAGGTCATTAATAACATCCCCTACGGTACTTTGTTTCGGCAACCTAATAGTATGAATTACCACCTGGAACAAGTTAACCCAAGGTTACATGATAGGGAAATAAAAACATAAACTGAAAAGATGACTGCTACAAGTCAGCACTCACTTCATCTTTGGTAGCATGATGAAATGCGACTTTCAAAGTTTTCAGGCCTTGCAGTTCCGGCAGGGGAATATCCAATACTTCATAATATAAAATATCCGTAGTCTATCCAAAAAAGAAGAGGAATGAATTTATTTCAGCTTTCAAAACACAAATACCAAAACTATAAATGTTAGAAAACAAGTATTGATCAGAGTAAGCCCATCTCACGACCAACCTGATTGTAGTGGACAAGCATGTCTGAAAGATGGTCTACTCCTCGGTATTTGATAGGCTGCGGTTTAGGTTGCTGGGAGTAGCAGTTGTGAGATGTAAGCCTAATTTTAGACGGATCATCCAAGCCTAGATGACGGGCTACTTTTTCCACTACTTCATCATAATTATGAAGTTTTGACCTAGAAATTTACATGGAAAACAATATAATAATCAAATAAATCTTTTACTCACATAGATGACTCCAAAGAATTTGAATAACTAATTAGAATGATGGTCTGTTTAGTTTTGTGTAATGGAAACTTACAACTCAAGACAAAACTCATCCTCCTTCGGTTTCTCCAGAGAACGGAATCGAACAACCTATTAACCATCACATAAGATGAAAACTTAATGCTGAGAAAGAATGTCACGCTGAGAAAAAATTTTGCAAGCAGCTGACACAATACAGTAGATAATATCAGAAAGCTTTCAATTACGACACTAGCCTGGTCATACAGAATTTCTGCATAAACTCTATACAACCCTTCTTTAGAATGTATCAAAATAAACCTCCTCTTCCCTCCCTTCTTGTCCTCTCTTAGGTAGTTATCTCAAATATTGATCCATCTTCTCAATTACAAGACATAACAGTATAAGGAGAGGTGCATTTTGAAAAATAATTCCATAAGATACTGAAAAGTGTCATTACATGTAAACTTTATCAGGTGGGATCCTGCATATCCATACCAATAGGATAAAGGATTCGGTAATCTGCTACAAATCACCACAAAATACAGAAGTTTTGGAATATTATACCAAGTTATGAAAAATCACGATACTTCCAGTGCTACAACAGTACCTCATAAGTACCTTGATAATTTACAATTAAACATTCAATAAACCCTCTGATGATCAAGAAAACAACTAAAGAGAAACTTCAACGATAGGTGACCATCATATACATATTCATGATGTTATGCAAGAACTTTTTATAATTTTGCATGCACTAACTAAATCTATACACCAAAATAGCCTCCCTGTATGTGGTGGGTAAGGCTATGTATATGTCCTATGCTCCCTAAAACCGGGTGTGAGTCTCATGCCCTAGGCTGCCCCTTTTTATCTAACNTGATAGGTGACCATCATATACATATTCATGATGTTATGCAAGAACTTTTTATAATTTTGCATGCACTTACTAAATCTATACACCAAAATAGCCTCCCTGTATGTGGTGGGTAAGGCTATGTATATGTCCAATGCTCCCTAAAACCGGGTGTGAGTCTCATGCCCTAGGCTGCCCCTTTTTATCTAACAAATTAAAGGACAGAAATTCTGTTTCCTTTCCACCAAAATGATCAAAGCATCCATTCCATGGAAAGGTGTTTCAAGTTGTTGCAGCCAATCTTTGGAAACAAATTTTCAAAATTTTGTTTCCATTCTATGTTTTCTATTTTGTTTCCAAAAATGTTTCCATTTCTGAGCTAACTGAAACCATGCACCACCGACCCAAATTTTGATCCTTGATNCCGAAATGAATCAATGAGTGAATATCGAAATAACAATATTTTGAGGTGTTTCAAGTTGTTGCGGCCAATCTTTGGAAACAAATTTTCAAAATTTTGTTTCCATTCTATGTTTTCTATTTTNGGTGTTTCAAGTTGTTGCAGCCAATCTTTGGAAACAAATTTTCAAAATTTTGTTTCCATTCTATGTTTTCTATTTTGTTTCCAAAAATGTTTCCATTTCTGAGCTAACTGAAACCATGCACCACCGACCCAAATTTTGATCCTTGATTAAATTTATCTAACTAACCTGCAGTAAAACCCAAAAGTAAGTAAGAAGTTAAGTATGATAATAGAAGTTGCTATAATATATTGACCCAATGTAATGCAGTCAGCATAGGAATAAACATCCTGTCACATGATGACGAGAAAAGCTAGGGAATGAGCAGCTTATGCCAAATTTAACATTTTATGCTCCCAAACAAACATCATGACAAAGTAACATCAACCATATTCANAAAATTTATCTAACTAACCTGCAGTAAAACCCAAAAGTAAGTAAGAAGTTAAGTATGATAATAAAAGTTGCTATAATATATTGACCCAATGTAATGCAGTCAGCATAGGAATAAACATCCTGTCACATGATGACGAGAAAAGCTAGGGAATGAGCAGCTTATGCCAAATTTAACATTTTATGCTCCCAAACAAACATCATGACAAAGTAACATCAACCATATTCATTCATGTCATTCACAGGTTACTGACACATTTTCCAAAGTCATTAAAATTTCCAAATTTTAACTAAAGATAAACACCGCGCAAAATCTCCATAGGTCAATATTTTCGACATCAATACAAACTTGGCAACAGATAACCCTACCATGTACTATGGGAACGGGTTAAATACTATTGATACCCATAATATAGAAATCAAAAAATTTAGATCACAGCCCCATGTTAGAGAAATGTTTCAAAAAATAATTAAGAAGNTGACACATTTTCCAAAGTCATTAAAATTTCCAAATTTTAACTAAAGATAAACACCGCGCAAAATCTTCATAGGTCAATATTTTCGACATCCATACAAACTTGGCAACAGATAACCCTACCATGTACTATGGGAACGGGTTAAATACTATTGATACCCATAATATAGAAATCAAAAAATTTAGATCACAGCCCCATGTTAGAGAAATGTTTCAAAAAATAATTAAGAAGTTTCCATATACCTGACGATTGTGCACATATTCAAGAAATGAGGGAACATCAGGATAACGGCATGGATCACTAGAGTGAACCTGAAGGGACTTCTGAAAGCAAATAATATCCCCATCTTCAAGCTGCAAAGGGTGAAGAACTGATAAAATGACATGGCATAAATCTTGCAATCAGTCGTGGTCAATGATTATCCCATGACAAAGAAGAATGAGCAAGTTTAAAAAAATGGTACAAGCATTGATGTAAAACACAACACAGTTTGCATGGACATGGATAACAGGTACCTGACTACTACGAAAAGTGAGCTTCTTGTCAATGGGTTCACACATGACGTTAGGTTCAAATTTTATCTCCTGGGTGTCATAGACTATGTGTAAGATAACTGTCTTAGCAAAACTAAGAAACCAGGATAAAAGGATTGAAATTCATAGTGGACTTAAAAAAACAAGAGACTGACCTCAAATAGTTCAATTTCTTCATCAGGAGCATAGCCAGCGAGTTCATTTAGCTTCATCAATATGTCTAATGGCTTCCCAATGCCTTTCACAAAAAGCCGCCCTACATACCTGACAATACAAAAGAAAAGCGTGAGTAATCACATGCAATTCCAGCATATGATGCATAGGAACAGACAAAGGTTAAGGACACCACAGGCATAGAAATACCAACATTATAAGTTCGAAAAACTGTAGGAGACACCAGATACACGAAAATACTAACTATACTTCCATATGCACATGTATATTACACGGAACAAGATAATAAATTTTATTAAAATATTCATATTAGTGGAAGCATTTTGCAACTCTGAAGTTGCAGCTTAACAAAGAGAATCTAACTTTCAATTTACAGTTTTGCTAGATCTACTACCTTCTCATACATCCTTTTTATTTATAATATTGCATTCTTCTTCTACATAAAAAAAAGTCCGTTAAATGTTTGCCATGTTCCATGTATCTAGATTTCTTTCAAAGTAATTCATTCCTGATTATCCATGCCTGACATGTTTGTAGTGATCATAAATCAATTTTTTGCATTAGCATGTTAGAGGATGCGTCTTGTCCAACAAGGTGTCAGACAAGGAGAAGGCCACTTCTTAGAGGTTTCTGTGCACAATAGTTTCCAACGGGAGGACCAAAATAATAATTACATACCGAAGCTCCTCTTTAAGAGGGTCATAAAGTTTGAAGAAAAGAAGAATCTCCTCTTTGGTCTTCCCAAGTGGAGGAACCGGTCGCAAATCCTGCAAATGTACAAGTCACTAAAGCAATAAATTTCTGCAGGAAAAATAGCAAAACATACATGACTTAAATCAAAAACCAACTTAAATCACCATAGTAAAAAAGGATGATTGGATTAAGGAGAAATTACCAATCCAAGTTCTACTTCCAAAAATAATTTTAGCTCTGCATTATTAGCTTTGTTGGATACCTCTCTCAGTTGTCCAACCTAAAACATATGGAAGTGAGATTATCATAAGTCCAGACAATAATCAACTTCAACAAGACACTAATAACTACAACACTCTAGAGTGAAGGGACTGACAGACAGAAAATGAAACAATATATAGTAAATCTTTGATTTGATGCAAAACAAATAGAACACAATTATTTGTTTATGTGAGTTTGAAATCCCATCGATGAAGTATGTATGGAAAGACATTCCTGCAACAGGAAAACGAGGAAAAAGAAGGCTTCCCCACAACTATTCCACTTGGTGCAGGAAGGATCCGAGAGTGGAAGAAGTTTAGAAAAGAGGAAGAAATAGTGTCGGCAATCCCCAGAGAAAGTATTATTGATATATTTGGAGATATTTTAGTGGCCTACATTTTATGGAAATGGGTTATTATGATACACCCAACCCTACTTAATTAACATTGTTCACAAGAGTTCATGTCAGTAGACCAGTCAAATATAAGAAATAAGTGCATCACCAATGAGATAGATCACAGAGTAAAATGCAGCTCAATAAAACATGAGTATCAAGATGCCAGTATGATACCATGAGCCAATTTCAAATCTCAGAATGCAGCTCAAAAAACATCCAAAGGTGGAATACAGCAACATAGAGTAGGTGCAAAGTCAAAAATACATACCGATTGAACTTCCTCCTGAGAAGTCAATGGCCGATTTGGACGGTATGTGTGGTTTTGGCGCTTTGCCCAAAGCCAGTAACGTTGAAATTGCACTGGCACACCAAATTCTTTAGCAACTTCCTCCTGAAAATTAGTTAATAGATGATAAAGATTATAACAAATATACAAGCTTCTTTATTTGAAAGTATCATGATGAAAATATGGGTTAACCTACAATTAAGGTCAACTTGGAATTGTCCATATACTATATGAGATGCTATCATGTCTTCCCTTAATACCTTAACCAATGTCACTTTATTCAATCGGTTCTTCTCATTGGTCCCTAAAATTATCCATTATAGAGAATCATGAGATGCCATCCATTAGAGTATCATTTAAATTGCATCACCATTTTAAGTCAAAAATGACATCCTCAATCTATATGCTGTCACAGGTGTCGAACAACCCATCATACTGATGTGGCAACCACTACGAACTGCTAAAGCCCAGAGCACGAGTATTTGCCAACTGCATCAAAAAATACTTGTTCGTTCTCACTTTTTTCACCTACAATCCTGTTCATAAGCTTAGAAGCTTCGCTTCTAATTAGATCCCAATATACGTCATCAAGTCTCATAACTGAAGAAGTCCATAAAATGCATTCCTTTCACACAACCGAGGCTACCATTGTACACTGGAACAAGACTAATACCATAACTTGCAGAAAGTTTTCCTAGCAGTTCCCAAAAAAAATATCAATACATTTCCAAGTTTTCCCCAGAAATTGGACTATGTCACTCCCCTTCACAAGAATCTTGTGCCTATGGTTTGCAATAGTTGTCCCACACCCAAGGATCAAAATTTTGTATTGTTTCAATCACCTAGAAATCAGAAACATTTCGAAATCTTTCGAAAACAAAATTGAAACGAATAAAAAACTTAAGAATTTACTTCCAAAATATTTTAATATATTAGTCAAAATATATTGAAACCTCTCAAAACATTGTGGAAATATGCCACAGCATCTCGAAACCTTCCCAAAGAACATCAAACCATCGAAATTTTAATTTAATCACTAATTTGTTTTGATTTCCTTGGAAACAGAAAATTTCCGGCTATTTATAAACAAAATTTTGATCTTTGGTATTCGTATCCTATTTTTCAATTATTGTCGTATTATTGTATCAGTATTGTATCATACTCATATCCCGTATCCATATCCGTATCTTAGATTCATAGTTGTACAGACAATGAGGAGTGGGCATGGGTCGGCAACCTAGCCTGGCCAGGCCCTTGTAGCAAGTATATACGAAAAAATTATTTTTGAGTAAAAAATTAAAAATAGATTGTAATTTAGTATATAATAATAAAAAAATGGCCCATGGACTAGGTCTGGACTAAGGTAAAGACCAAGGAGAATCTAACCCACACACACTACATGTTTTAGGTCAGCCCATCCCTAGCCCAGCACTACAGACACTCCTCTTTAATTTTGTTATATTCTTCTAAACTATTGTCTTGACTGATTTGACCTAATAAGACTCCGAGACCAGGCGATTCTTCTTGGTCTCAGACTCTTAGGTGTGATTCCCAACCAATGGCAGTATAACTTGTTAAATGACTAGCCATGACTGGTTTCCCTTCATTTTGTTGCTTTTTAATGTCTTTGACATTGATTTTGCTAGACATGCACAAGTTGTTCAACAAGAATGTTAGGCATGAATATGTGGCATAGACATGTACATAAAATGATTCTTTGTTGTGAGATTCTAACAAGGTGTGGGTAAGGATAGCCCAGTCTTCTCAGTCTGGTGAATATAGATAGCTTCTTCTAGGTACTGCTCTTTCAACCAATCAATCAATCTGCTTATTGCTTCCAAATAAGTCAGTCACTTCCTGCTAAAAGTGAAGCTCTTTTGCTGGTGGACTACATGAGTCTTATGAAAGAGAGCCGAGGACTAGAAGAAGTTCCGATTGTTTCGAGGTGTTTTAAGATGTTTTAGCATATCTCATTGAAGCAGCACATCAGCTATAATCAGGCCATTCAATTGTGCAATGAGCGACCAATTAAGAAGAAATGGAAAATGAAAATCAGCCTGCTTTAAAACTGAAAATGAAAATAAAACTTTAGAGACAAATTTGGAGGCCAAAATCAATTTATTAATCTCTCAATTAATAACCAGTTGAAATTCCTAGAAAAGTCCAAATTCAGCTTCTGCTGGCTTAATATTTGTCGAGTTCTAGTGCACTTCAAAAGTACAAGATCAAAACAAGCACATAGGTGGATAACTTTCTCTAAAAAAAAAGGCACCGCCACCAGATGTATTTCTTTATCAGACGGTACTAATATATTTACCTGTTGAGCACAATATCAATTTTTTTTTCTTGATAAGAAAAAGCTTTTCATTGATACGTAAAATTATAAAATGCGAGCAAAGCAAAATATCAAAATTTGTANGCAACACTCTAGAGTGAAGGGACTGACAGACAGAAAATGAAACAATATATAGTAAATCTTTGATTTGATGCACAACAAATAGAACACAATTATTTGTTTATGTGAGTTTGAAATGCCATCGATGAAGTATGTATGGAAAGACATTCCTGCAACAGGAAAACGAGGAAAAAGAAGGCTTCCCCACAACTATTCCACTTGGTGCAGGAAGGATCCGAGAGTGGAAGAAGTTTAGAAAAGAGGAAGAAATAGTGTCGGCAATCCCCAGAGAAAGTATTATTGATATATTTGGAGATATTTTAGTGGCCTACATTTTATGGAAATGGGTTATTATGATACACCCAACCCTACTTAATTAACATTGTTCACAAGAGTTCATGTCAGTAGACCAGTCAAATATAAGAAATAAGTGCATCACCAATGAGATAGATCACAGAGTAAAATGCAGCTCAATAAAACACGAGTATCAAGATGCCAGTATGATACCATGAGCCAATTTCAAATCTCAGAATGCAGCTCAAAAAACATCCAAAGGTGGAATACAGCAACATAGAGTAGGTGCAAAGTCAAAAATACATACCGATTGAACTTCCTCCTGAGAAGTCAATGGCCGATTTGGACGGTATGTGTGGTTTTGGCGCTTTGCCCAAAGCCAGTAACGTTGAAATTGCACTGGCACACCAAATTCTTTAGCAACTTCCTCCTGAAAATTAGTTAATAGATGATAAAGATTATAACAAATATACAAGCTTCTTTATTTGAAAGTATCATGATGAAAATATGGGTTAACCTACAATTAAGGTCAACTTGGAATTGTCCATATACTATATGAGATGCTATCATGTCTTCCCTTAATACCTTAACCAATGTCACTTTATTCAATCGGTTCTTCTCATTGGTCCCTAAAATTATCCATTATAGAGAATCATGAGATGCCATCCATTAGAGTATCATTTAAATTGCATCACCATTTTAAGTCAAAAATGACATCCTCAATCTATATGCTGTCACAGGTGTCGAACAACCCATCATACTGATGTGGCAACCACTACGAACTGCTAAAGCCCAGAGCACGAGTATTTGCCAACTGCATCAAAAAATACTTGTTCGTTCTCACTTTTTTCACCTACAATCCTGTTCATAAGCTTAGAAGCTTCGCTTCTAATTAGATCCCAATATACGTCATCAAGTCTCATAACTGAAGAAGTCCATAAAATGCATTCCTTTCACACAACCGAGGCTACCATTGTACACTGGAACAAGACTAATACCATAACTTGCAGAAAGTTTTCCTAGCAGTTCCCAAAAAAAATNGCTCTGCATTATTAGCTTTGTTGGATACCTCTCTCAGTTGTCCAACCTAAAACATATGGAAGTGAGATTATCATAAGTCCAGACAATAATCAACTTCAACAAGACACTAATAACTACAACACTCTAGAGTGAAGGGACTGACAGACAGAAAATGAAACAATATATAGTAAATCTTTGATTTGATGCAAAACAAATAGAACACAATTATTTGTTTATGTGAGTTTGAAATCCCATCGATGAAGTATGTATGGAAAGACATTCCTGCAACAGGAAAACGAGGAAAAAGAAGGCTTCCCCACAACTATTCCACTTGGTGCAGGAAGGATCCGAGAGTGGAAGAAGTTTAGAAAAGAGGAAGAAATAGTGTCGGCAATCCCCAGAGAAAGTATTATTGATATATTTGGAGATATTTTAGTGGCCTACATTTTATGGAAATGGGTTATTATGATACACCCAACCCTACTTAATTAACATTGTTCACAAGAGTTCATGTCAGTAGACCAGTCAAATATAAGAAATAAGTGCATCACCAATGAGATAGATCACAGAGTAAAATGCAGCTCAATAAAACATGAGTATCAAGATGCCAGTATGATACCATGAGCCAATTTCAAATCTCAGAATGCAGCTCAAAAAACATCCAAAGGTGGAATACAGCAACATAGAGTAGGTGCAAAGTCAAAAATACATACCGATTGAACTTCCTCCTGAGAAGTCAATGGCCGATTTGGACGGTATGTGTGGTTTTGGCGCTTTGCCCAAAGCCAGTAACGTTGAAATTGCACTGGCACACCAAATTCTTTAGCAACTTCCTCCTGAAAATTAGTTAATAGATGATAAAGATTATAACAAATATACAAGCTTCNATTGCCACGACCACCATTGCCGTCGCCATCACCACCACCACCACCACTACCCCTACCATTATTGTCACCACCACTACCCCCATCACCACCATTGTATTGTTGTCACCATCACTACCATTATGTCACCACCACCGCCACCACCACCATTGTGCCACCGCCGCCACTACCATTATCATTGTGCCACCACCACTGCCACTATCACTGCCATTATGTTGCCGCCACCACCACCACCATAGTGTTGCTGCCACCACCACCATCATTGTCGNACCACTGTCGTCGCCGCTACCACCATTATCATTGTGCCACCACCACTGCCATTATCACTGCCATTATGTTGCCGCCACCACCACCACCATAGTGTTGCTGCCACCACCACCATCATTGTCGCAATCATTATCATTGTGTCACTGTTGCCGCCGCCACCACCACTACTGTGTTGTCGCCACTACCACCATCATCGCCACACCATTACCACCACCATTGTGATAATAGTGATAAGAATAAGGCAGTTGTGGAGAAATGGTTAAAGAGAAAGACAAAAGTAAAATAATAATAATTTTCAAACTTCAACTTCTTATATTTGTCAAATAATTTGATTAAATTCAACACTTAAATTGCAATTAATACCAAATAGTCTACGAATTAAAAAATTTAGCATTCAACATTTAAGATTCAGCATTCAATTTTTAGTATTCGGCTTTCAATTTTATCAAACACTACCATAATAAAAAATTAACAGAGAACCAACCAAAAATAATAACACAAAAAAGAGAAATCTATCAAGACAAAGAAATAAAAGGTAATTAAGTTGATGGCAATCAATTGGAGAAAAGCGTCAGAGACGAAGTTACCAGCTTAGTATAGGGATTCTAATATCCATCTAAAGATTTGAAATAATTTTAGGAATAAAAAAAATGAACTAATGCATTCACATCAAAGAAAATAACAGAGCCCTATGCCAAACGAGAGGCACCTTATTTACAGGGTTGAAATGCTACATTCTAGAACTATGTAGGTAAAAATGTCACTTAGTTGCACTATAGGTAATCTAATAGTGACATTCCAAGAGAATAATAACACTGGCAAATATGACTTATTTGATATAGTTTCAGTTTTGGGAACATGTGGGTGCAAGTCCACCCGAAAATAATAGCAGTATGATTAAAAACAATCCACCTTTTTCCCTTCCTCAACATAATTATATATGTCATCAACTTTATTGTAAGAAGACAACAAAATCTTTGCTAGTCACCTAGCTCACAGCATGCCATTTGCTTTTTCATCATTAAGAAATTGGAAGAAGGGAGAACAACCAGAAGGCAACTTGCCTAAATAAGTGAACTCAGACAAGGATTAAAATTTCATTTCGAAATGGTCGCAACAGCTGACAACTTCAACAACTTGCCTAAACGTTTTCTTTCCATTTTCAAGGACACCGAAATGAATCAATTAAGGAACTAAATTTCGTTTCGAAATAGTCGAAATATTTTCGTTTTCATGAAAACCGAAATGAATCAATGATTGAATATCAAAATTCCTATGTTTCGATAAGTTTCGAGATGTTCCAATTAAAGTGTTTTAGCATGTTTTAACCTATGTTTTGGTATGTTTCAAACAATGTTACAGAAAGAAATATTTAAATTTTTCTTTATTTATTTCCTGTTTCTAAAATGTTTTTGAAACATTACAAAAATGTTTTCCCTTTCAAGCTCCTTGAAACTATACACCAAAACAAAATTTTGATCCTTGAAATCAGTTATTGAATTGAAATTCCAATGTTTTGGGGTCTTTCTGAATGTTTCAAGGAGTTTCAACATATTTCCACTAACATTTCGGAATGTTTCAAGATTTTTCATGATGTTTCGGTATATTTTGACCAATTTTTCAAAATATTTTGGAAAAAAATTTCCAAAAATTTTATCCATTTCTATTCAATTTCCAAAGCAATTATGTTTCTTAGATGGTCGAAATAACACATCAAAACGAAATTTTGATCCTTTATCACACATCACAAATAAATTTCAACAATTATAGAAGACGGTTCACCAAACAAGGAAGTGAAAACTATGCATCGTGTCATAAAACTGCTGAAAAAAATGAACAGACAAAAAATACAACTAATACCTGTGAAGAGTGTACAAGTTGCGAACACTCCTATCAGCCTCAGGTGATAAATACTTGCCACTCTCTCTATCAAGATCAAGTTGCAAAGGGAACTCATAGCGATCATTTATCTGTTTAATTAGCAAGACAAACAACTTCAGCAACAAGCCTTACTGGGAAGAAAACAAAATGAGACAAAAGGCTGAGAATTAAAAACTTTGGTACAATAATCTGTGAAAAATTCAACATTGAGAGCAAAAGAGTTTCTAAAGTTGATCAATTTTGTCCCATCACTATGATAGTTAAGTCTAAAAATCAAGCACAGTCTGAACAGTATACAATAGATAGACAAAGAAACAAGTACAACCCCTCTCAACTTAGCACAATAGTTAGGTAAAGAAACAGAGTAACAACCCTCTCTGCTGAGCACGATGGATAGATACAGAAAGAAGTATCAACCCCAAACCCCCTCCCCCTTCCAAAAAAAAAAAAAAAACTATGCGTCAAAGAAGATTTCAGATGCATCATGGATAAGAGGAACGAGTAAAACAACCAAAAATACTTACGAAAAAGGAAAATTCAGTCTGAAAAGGGAAAAAATAAGAGAGGGGGGGGGGGAATGCTTGAAGAGTAAATGACTCACATCAGACAAACAAGGAGAGGCAGTGGGGGACAGGGACACGTGTTATCTAAGATAAAAGAAAGTAATCATCTCACGGAAACTGATATAGACATTCCGTCACTCACACAACTAATGGCAAAATGACATTGACGGATATTTAATAATGGCATGCTCTTCGAGAAAGATATCCAAATTCCAAACCTTACCTAAAAATGAATCAGGGAAAACATGGCATTCTGACACAGCTTTAGAGCATCTACTATAAAACCATCCCATTCAGTAGTCTTAGAAACCATAAAAGGTTTTATTAATTGTCTTCTTTATTCACATACACATAATCTTGAAGCCAAACTCGTATTTCACAAGGGGGGAAAATAACTTATCACTCCAAATACAACTACTAAAAATGGATCTCTCCCCAATTACAGTTTTGACTTCTAACAGAGCAATGATTTACAAGTGCCCAACCTGCACAACCTATTTAACAGATGGCAAAGCACAAGCCCGTTCCAGGTTCACTTTAGGCGCATCTAGTCCGGCCCAAGCTAAGTTCACATGGTTTCTCTGGAACCAAAATGACCCACCGTCATTAAAGCAGCGAAAGAATGGGAGGGAGGGAGGGAGAGAGAGGTGTAAAAACAAATTGGAAATTGGAATGCAAAAGCAAAATTGATTGATAATAAGTAAACCTTCAAAATGAATGCCTTAACATACAAAAGTCGTGCAAAGCATTCTTCTGGACCATTACTTCAACTCTTGACAATTTCTCATGCAATCAGAACCTGATAATACCTTTGCAAACTTCTATGCCATGGAAAGACACCCCGTGTATGATAGAGATGAACATAGGATGTCAGCTTGTAAGAAAGATACCAAGGGAAAGGGCGCAGCTAAAATATGCTGCCAGAATCAGGTCTAGGTAAGGCTAAGCAGCCTAACTATGAATCAAGGCTCAAATCAAAACCACACCCAACCAAACCCACCAGTAACCAGGCTCAAACTACACTAATGGTGATTCAGGCCAGCCACCCAGACTTCAACCCTAATGACTCTAACACAAAACCTACGTAAAACACCAATGTATACTCTGGAATGGAGTACAAAATAGAAACAACTAGGAACGTATTAGGCTAAAGAACTGAGCATTGGCAAATATGAACCAACTTCAGTGAAACCAATATGGCCCAAAGGACAGCAAATACATAACAAAGCCTCAGTTCAGATATCTAACAATATATAATAAGACAATACAGCTCAACTTTGGTTTTTTCACACATAAACACCAACCTCACAAATTTTCTTCATTTTAGTTTTTCTAGTGAATCACACGTCACCTTAAATAAAATACTACAGAAGCAATTTTCCATTTTTTTTTAAGGGCCACCTCCAAGAATTAAAACCAAGACGTAGAAAAACATCATTTAGTTATGCCAATAAAATTAAGAAAATATTCAAAGGACTTCATGGAAATAAGCACAGGAGGCTAGGTTCCCTAAGGACAGGACATCACATGCAATGTCCAAAATAAAATGTACACTGTAAAATAGCGAATTACAGTTTAATTATCACAAGAATACAATTCACTTTGTTAAAAGCAGTCAAACACCATGGAGTATTTCCCAAGCTTGAAGATCACAAACAAACTGCCATCTATCAATTTTAGCTTCTCTCAAGTCTAAACTAATCATACTCCTAACCATATCCCTACGTCCAAAAACAGAGGAACAGCTACCCTCATTAAGTAGCTCATTTTTGCATCAAAACCCCTTCCCACTAGCAAAACAATAGTGCTTATGCTAAGAAAAATAATAACAATAACCACCCAGTTATCATAATAGAGAAAAAATTTATTTCCCTCATAATCTTGTGAAAGATTCTTTTCTTTATTTTTCTTTTCTTTTTCTTGTCTGCAGTCTTGCAAAAAGCTAAGAGGCAAATTTACATCTCAACATACAGACGTAAATTCAAGCCTTTTACTACCGTATTGCACCTGCAAAGGACCATGCATCCTTAAAATCCTTCATGTTTTTTTTTCTTGTCTAAGAGGATCTCTTTTTACTTTCTAACCAAATGTGGCAAGTAAATAACTATATTATAAAGCTGGCAACATTTTCTCACAAGTATCCCATACTAGCAGAGATGTGAACACTGAAAAAAAAGGGTGACACAGTGGGGTGTGGGCGGATCTGTAGTTGTAATTAAGGACCATTTCCATGTGTTGTAACTTGCTTACCCATTATAACACCAATGCTAACCAAACCAAACCAAACCAAACAAGAAATCACACCATACACAGTCGCACATAGCAGCACATCATACACAATCGTATAGTTTTGTCACCAAAGCAAATAAGTAATTTTTCAGTTACCAACCTTTACCATAGTATCCCGCATAAAATCATATTCAAACCGTTTCAACTGAAGCTGAAGAACAGGGGGGAAGTCAATGAACAGTACACCCTTCCTAGCATCCTGAAAAAAGGCCAAATGTACAGCAATGTTTGTAAGAAAGTCACACTAAAATACTTTATTTAACAATTCAGCCCAAGAAGGAGAAAAATAGTACAGAAATGCCAAGCAATGAAAGTGTCAAAATGAATCTCCCTACTGCAAAATAATCTTACAAGTCAACTTAAGCACTAATGCTTTGTTCAATCTTCAAACAACTGCCTAGTTTTTTCGGAAGTTGGGGAAGGGGGTAAAGCAGGCCAACTATAAAGATTAATTGCCAAAGATCTCTAGCGAATAAAAAAAGGTAAAATCCTTTGTTTTACTCAGGAAAACAATTCAAGTCTCCAAGGCACCCAACCTGTGGTTATGTCCACCCAAGGCCCCCTTCGGCCCTTCCCCCACCAACGGGAAAAGAGTGAGGGAGTGGGGAAGCAAAAAAAAAACAAAAAAAAAAAGCCATCCAACCTGCAATCCATGCTGTTCAGCATGATATTTATTATCACCCTCAAGACGCTCCACTTCCACATACTTGTCAAAAGAAGCATAAACATCCCGACAGCCTTTGACATCAAGCTGAAGATCTGACACAAAAAAAGTGTCAGCAATAGCTAAAAATCCATCCAAGTTATAGTCATCTCCGATTGAGTTAAAACATGTACCATAAAATGACTCCTTCCTTGTCGATTTGTAGTCCACATTGATGCACTCAATATAATTCATGTGGTGCCCTTCAAATAACTGCTGTATTGTACCCTCCACCACAGTTCCCTGAGCCAGAAAAGCACAGTAAAGCATAAAACAGCAATTTTGGATAAGAGCAATGAAGTCCAAAGTAAGGTGCTATTAAACCCTTCTACCTTCATTTTGTCTTCAAGCTTTTCACAAAGAACCCTGTTAAGTTCTTGAACATCATGCTGCATAAAAGAATCATATGTGTCCCACCCAAACGATTTGGTCAACTCTTTTGTTGCTACACTAGTGTCACTGTACTGGAGCTTATAGAATAAACTCTGCAAAGCCAGAGGGATGCTCCCTGATGGCATATCATTCTCGGTTGTTGGCATATGATACACTGCCTGAATACCAAGTGTCAAATAAGCCATTTTTTTTTTTAAATAAACACCAAGGCAACAAGTAGATCAAATATGCTACCTTTCTAAAATAAGGAATATGGTACAATGTCTGGAGGAGAGAGTTCATATAACAAGTAGCTCCTTGATTTTTTAGTCCAACATAACCAGTCTCTTTCTTTGAGTCATGTGACCAGTAATCAACAACTCTACGGACAGCAACATCAGCTTCAACTATGCATGTATCGTTCACAAGATAACCTCTACCTGGGTCATATAGTTCACTAAGAGGCATGAACGAAGTGAAACCCCAATCACTTTCTCGCGCATTGAACTGGTGATGTGTATCTGCAGAACCACCAGAAAAGAACCAAATAAATGAATTAAAATGCAGTATGCTACATCTAGGAGGTGAGTTCCTGAACAGCATGATAGCAATTAATTGAGCTAAATCACAAATTCACATCAAGAACTCATTGGACATTGTGTGATAAAATTTAGCATTAAACTCAGAAAAAGGAAAAAAGTCCAGGTCTTTTTTTAAGGAAGGAATACTCAGAATCTCACAATTATACAGCACTGAATCATAACATATAAGAGCATATTTTTAGTATTTATATTATTATATTTTCTAAGATAAGATACAAATCCTAATGGCCAACTAATTGATTTGAATATCACTATTTTAGAACTCTTCCAGTGAAAACATTACAAGAGTAGGAGGCGAGAACTAAAATTTCGTTTCGGTACATTGTTTTGATCACCTAGAAAACGGAATCATTTAGGAAATATTTCAAAAACAAAATGGTACACTTGAAGAAGGTAATACAGATGGTACAACTACAGTAAATCAAATAGTTTCATTTTCATTTATCGAAGACCTAGGAAAAGTGATCGAGAGGTAGAGATAAGCCAAATTAGCTCTAAATGACATAGTAATAACAAGGAATGTGATAGCTCACAGTTCAACGGAAACCTTGATATACCACGTGGAGAAACAGCATTCAAGTAGCTAATCACAAATAGTTGGGACAAAGGCTTTGTTGAGTTGAGTTTTATACATTATCATTTGCCCTGCTTAATAACTTGGTTGATCCCTAAGAGTAGCAAGAAAAAATGAAATTTAATGTATTACTTCTATTTAACCCTAAAACAAAGTTCCAACTACTCATGACATATGTAACACCTACGACATTTTTTTCCTTTTGCTATGTCATGCACCCTTTGTTGACACTAGCAATCAACTAACCTATCATCATAGTTTTTCTCCTAGAACTAGTCAAGTACTTAAATATTATTTAATGGATGAAAATGGAAAATTTCATACTCCCAACCCTTGGAGTTGATTCTAGAATCACGTTCACTTCAAAAATCAGTGCATTNTTATTTAATGGATGAAAATGGAAAATTTCATACTCCCAACCCTTGGAGTTGATTCTAGAATCACGTTCACTTCAAAAATCAGTGCATTTGAAATCATAATCATGGTTTTTTCAGACCCTTGGTATTTTCACTTTGGCTCATTAGATTTTAATAAAATGGATTTAGGATAAATTTGTACATGCCTCATACACTTTTTCATTTAATTACCATTATATCACGAAAAGTATTTCCCACGAACATAAACTAACAGGAATAAGTCATAACAGACAACAATAAACACTATTAAAGGGAAAAAATAAAAGAAAACTTAAAAAATTGAAACCTAAAAATTTTGAATCATAAATGAGCAAACAAAATTGCCAAAAACTTGTGGCCACCAAAAGATGGAAGGCACCATTGAAATGCATTTTCATTCGATTTATGAACATAAACAGCTTGTGTATAACCACCAGCTAAAATATGCATTTTTGTGTGGCTTCATTGAGGGACAAAAATTCAATACAAGCAAACATAAGCAAGTACAGTTGAAATCATATGTTCTTACCAAGCAGTTTTGTTGTACGGTTGTACCTATTCATCTTACCGTGATAAGAGAAGTTAAAGAAATATATCGCAAGCCATGAGGGAAAAAATACAAAGTGAGTAACTAGTGCAAAAAAATTTCCTATAATAAAGAACAAGGAAAGAAATAAAAAGAACGCAGGTTGTCAGCAANTAACTAGTGCAAAAAAATTTCCTATAATAAAGAACAAGGAAAGAAATAAAAAGAACGCAGGTTGTCAGCAAGCCCAAAGCTTAGGTTAGAAATGCTAAGACTTGAAAAAATAAGCCAGGAAAATTTGGTATCAGCAAGCTCAAAGCTTAGGTTAGAGACGTAGCAACTTGAAAGCCAAAACACCATGCAATTTTTGTTCTGGTCTCTAGTAATTTACACTACGCAAAGTGTACTATTGTTTTCATGGAGAAACACCAAACACTGATATCAAATGAAATGGCTAAACAAATAATATCAGCAATCATACAACGCAGAAACTAAAAAAATATCAGGAACCTTCTAATATAAGGCAAATTTATTTTCGTGGCTTAAAGCAGTAAACTTCCACTGTCAGTTTTGAGATGTTACTGCTACCGTACACGAGATAAGGATCACTCTAAACAAAGTACCAAAAAAAGCGCATAGATGCAAGAAACTATAGTGACAGATAGAGTAGTCTAATTAACAAGGATCAAATAGTTCTCACACAAGGACAAATTTGCTGCAACACTGTGCAATTTGATGCCTTGCATGCCCCAGTTAGCCCCTTGATATATATATNGCATAGATGCAAGAAACTATAGTGACAGATAGAGTAGTCTAATTAACAAGGATCAAATAGTTCTCACACAAGGACAGATTTGCAGCAACACTGTGCAATTTGATGCCTTGCATGCCCCAGTTAGCCCCTTGATATATATATTTGGTACTACAAGTAATTTATTGAATATCTTTCTTTCTTGTTGTATATCTTTTTTTCCTTTTTCACAATATGGGAAATTCAAGAAAAAAAGTGGAGGAGTCAGCCATCCAATTACAGTTTAAATCTTCAAATGCCCATCAAGCAGATGGAAAACCTATGTCAGGGACAACAATATTTAGAACTATCATCTATTGCTATATCTACAATTCTACGTATGGTTTACTAACAATAAACTGTGAAGATTTGTCAAGTTGATATATGAAAGAACGCAAAAGTACAAGCAAATGCCACATTTTCTGCCACCACCTAATATATAAATGAAGAAGTCTTTGGCTAGCACAGATGTAGAAAACAAATTGCTTACCTTTTCTAACTGTGAACTTGCTATGGATTTGATTGATAACAGCTAAGCTGAATTGTGCGGATCTACTCCACCCATATGGCAAAGTCGAAGAATCCGCAACGTCCAAATACATAGACAAGTGGTCCACATTGTTCCCTTTTGGGAATATAAGCACACGCCTGCCCAACACAACCGGACAGAAGAATCTCAAATGCCCATCTTTACAATCAATATCAAGTTCCCTCAAAAACATAATAAATCAATAAAGAGCCACTAAATCTTTTCTTAAAAACACATACATAACCATTAAACTTACCATTTGTATCCTCCAACATAGAAAACTTCAGAGTATAACTTCTTGGTATTTAGCCTTGAAAAATTCTCAATTGTCCATGTGAACCGTGCTGATGGTGGATCATCAACCGCCTGTGCATCCACTGTATTGCCAGTTTCTGCGGGTGCAACTACCATTGATGCACACCAAAAACAAACAAAACAAAAAATCCACAGCCCACAATTCAATCAAATCAACTACACGTGTGTGTTGTGCATAATTCGAGGAACATAAAACAAGACCGGAAATTCAGAGATTTTTAACGAATCAATACACATATAGGTAACTACCTTCCATGGGTTGAGGGGCATCGGCAGCAAAATCAGAGTGGGGAACGAGCATTTGATCGTCCTCGGGCTGCGAAAAACAAAGAAGAAGTGAGAGATTGGATCTGGTGCAGCGAAGCACTGCTGATCAATACAAACCCTAGAAATTCTACATTGTCGTGCGGAGAATGGTTTAATTAAGCCCAATTTATCAGCCAACTATCGAAATCGAACCGAACTATTCAACAAATCGAAATTCAAAAGAACTCTTCAGTGATATATAGATATATATATATATATATAGAGAGAGAGAGAGAGAGAGACAGGTGAGAGAATGTAGACAGCAGCAAAGAAAGCTGAACGAAGTAGATGTATACTAATAAGCACCTATATACGTTTGTGTATATAACATATATACAGATAGATAGATAGATAGATAGATAGATAGATAGATAGATAGAGATAGAGTGATTACGTCCATTGGCGGAGGAGTCATGAGAGTCATTTGATGGCCGTGCGATCGGCGAATCCAAAAGAGACTTCGCCGGTGGAAATTTACTATGTATGTGTGTGTGTGTGAGAGAGAGAAAGAGAGAGAGAGAAAGAAGTCTACAACATAAACACGATCGATTCGAGGTTCGGAAGACTTCGGTGGAGAGAAAGGACCTGAGGATTAGTAAGAGAGGGATAGGTTCGGAATTGCGAGAATTGTGGGAGAGAAGATGGNTTGTGTGTGAGAGAGAAAGAGAGAGAGAGAAAGAAGTCTACAACATCAACACGATCGATTCGAGGTTCGGAAGACTTCGGTGGAGAGAAAGGACCTTAGGATTAGTAAGAGAGGGATAGGTTCGGAATTGCGAGAATTGTGGGAGAGAAGATGGTAACAGAACAAAAGAAACACAGTTACAGCAGGGACGAGGAAAGTGTCTTGTGTTTAGGGATTATCATGATCTGATTCATTGTCTTAATTTCTTCCCTTCCAACACTAATTTTTGGATTATTAAGTACCGTTTCATTTTTTTTTTAAATAAATTCTTTGAGTAAAAATATATTTAATTACTATATAATAAATAAAAAATGATATATCCGAATTTTAATAAATCTATGTAGATTATGTTTGGAAAAATAAGTTTAGCTTTTTAAGGGGCAAAAAATAAAATTGTTAAAGCTAAAATTATTTATAAATATTTTTAAAATAAGCAAAAGTACATTAAAAAATTTAACACATGACACCTTACTTTGTACATTTAGAAAAATTAAGGGTATTATTTCTTAGCACAACACATTAATGTACTATGAACCTGATGCGAAATTAGCAACTTGAGATGACAAGTTTTCTATATAAAATTCAAAATTGTACAACTTAGTAACTCAAATAATAAATTACTGAAATTAATTTTAAATATGAATAAATCACTTTTAACACAACATACACAGTTTGTTGGTAGAATTTGAAGAAATTTTTTGGTGCTTTTCATGTGTAACTGGTTTTGTTTGGTTGAGAGGGAAGAAGAACTTAATTATGAATTTATGTTGTTGTGCTCGCCCCTTTCTTAGTCAACGGGGCAGCAGGTTCGGCATCTACTACAAAAGAAACAATCCACTTTAGATAACCATGCATTTGTTTTTTACGGATTTGTGCAGTTTAACTTAAATATGTTGTAGTTAATAAATAAACATGATTAATGTAATATTATGATTTGACTAAGGGATTATAACAAAATATTTATGATTCATAAATTATGTGTGTTAACTTAAGCACGATACAATTATAAATAAATTTGATCGACAACAAAAATCTTCATAAGATAACTTGAATAGATAGAGATAAGATAAGATTGATAGCGCTAGATGCAAATTCAAAATGCACATCACAACACTAATTATTTTCATACGTGAAAGTTATTAGCAAATTCTTATTTTATCTAACTTGCCCTTACACATTTTTTAACCAAAAATGCTCAATTGATTTCTCAAAATTTGAGATGATTTTAAAACCCTCAAAACTATGCTTCTTTTAAGAGTCGAAAAGATTATGTAAAAGTTAATAATCATGGAATTTCTCACAATATTTGAGTTTGAGTATGAAGATAATTGAAGATATAGTAACTTGGGAATTGAATTATGCAACACTAGTTTTATGCGAAGAAATTAACTTTTCTTGTGATTTTTGCCCAAAAAAATGGTTACTTGTCAGAAAATTATTTGCATACAAGAAAGTTTATATCCCAAGTAGTTTTTGTTTCTCACATGTAAAACTCTTCAAGAAATTCAACAAATCTCTCTATAGAATATTTTCTAGCATTCTCCATCTCCTTAGCCTATTTATTTGAAGGATCTGCTTTGTCGTTTTCTCCACTGTTCGCTAGGTTGGTTCTGATTGAGGGGAGACCAATTTCCAAAAGGTATCACGCCCTCCATACCATTTGCTAGTGCGTATGAATTTTCTCCCATTGCACGTCGTGCTATGGTTCGGTATGTCCATAACACATTGGGCAACTCTTCCACCCATTTTTAGTTTTCCTTTTCTAGCCTCTTTTTTATCCCGTATAGAATTGTCTTATTCGAGATTTTGGCTTTTTTGTTACTTTGGTGATATGTGAGTGTAGAATAATGATTTTGGATACTTTAGTGTTGACAAAATGTCTCAAAGGCCCGCTCTTGAATTGAGTTCCGTTATTCGAGATTAGTGTTATTAGTATGCCGTATCTTATGATGATGTTCGCAATTTGTTTGTTGCAGTACTGACATGAAATATATAGGAAATATTGTAATACATGATTCTTGTTTTTCTAAAGAGATAGTGGAAAAGAGTTGCATCATTAATCCTAAGTTAAGGGATAGATTACGAAGTCATAATAGTTGTCAAAAATATTTTGTATTATGTATAGATTTATTTCATATATGTATAAAATATGCATACGAATAATACGTTCTACTTGTACTATTGAGCTAAATTTAGTAAAAGTTGGAGATATGATATTATAATCCAATTCAATTGTATTAAGTTAAAAAATAAATATTTTGCCCACCAAATAAATTAAAACATGGATAATCAAACTAGATTGATGGTTATATGATTAGTACTATAGGATAAGTGAAAAAATCGAACGTAAGTTTGGACTGGATAGATATTATACCACTTTAATTTAGTATCTTGTTGAACACTGGATTAGTATGGGCATTATTTTTATCCCAAATTTAATCTTGTATTTTATTTGATTATGCAAAATTAGTCTGAATTACCTAAAATAATCATTTCTTTTAAAATATGGTAAGCAAATAACCCTATTAATACTAGGTCTCCATATGAATTTCCAAACATATATAATTTTCAAGGTGTTAATCTGTGCATTCACCAATGCTAATGTATTATTTTTTGTTAGGTATCATTGAATATCAATTTTTAAGTAACATTTATTTTCTAGTTTTTCTCCCCTCATCCTAAATTTTTTCTATTTCTTCAAGACAAACTGCATTTATAATTTTATACATCTATATCTATCTATCTATCTATATCTATTTTAATATCTATATAATAAAGTACAATACAATTTAAAAATCAAAAGATAAATAAAATAATTTTTATTTTTTGCGGTTGAAATCTTTTTAATATTTACTTTAAATATCCGATGACTAATATTAACACCCTAAATAATAGAGAAAATAGGCTCCTAAATGTGTGTGTTTGAATGACTTTTAAAAAGTGATTATAAGACTTATAACGTCTCACATGTATTTTACAAAAAAAAAGTAATGTTTAGAACCACACCACCCCCACGATGCTGCCACCGCCACCATCACCTCTGCCACAATAACCATTATCGCTACCACCGCCACCACCCCACCACCGTTTCTGCCACCACTACAACTGTCGACGCCAATACCACTGTCGCCACCCCACCACCACTATTTTGGCACCGCCAATACCACTGTCGCCACCTTACCACCGCCATTGTCCACTACTATTGCCGTCGCCAATACCACTATCGCCACCCCACCACCACTACCACTGCCATTGCCCCACCACCCACCATTAATTGCTACCACCCACCATAATTGTCATCCTATTCTTATATTGAGCAATGCTATTAAGACCTAATTTATTGACATAATTTATTATGACATTTGGATTCATTATAGACCTAATCAAACATTAGAATTTGGTGTTGATCAAAAGATTTCTATGAAAATCATATCATTATATCAACAAATTAGATCAATTTTTTTTAGATCCAACTAGTATTACTCTCTTATATTTATTACTACTACCACAATCATCTCATTACCATTGTCGCCCACTGTTAGCACCCACCACCACTATTGTTGCCCACCACCAACCTTAGTCGCCCATCACCACCCTTAGTTGCCCACCATCATCGCTAGTCACTGTCACCCACTCCTACCACACCTACCACCACCACTACTACTGTCATTCGCCACCACTCATCACAATGTCACCAAAAAGCACTTGTCATCGCCTACCACAACCCACCACCACCACCGCCATTGTCATTACCCCCCCATCACTGTCGCCCCACCACCACCATCACCGTTGTCACCTACGGCTGTCATCATAACCACAATCGTCATCACCCACCACCATCACTGCTGTGCACCACTACTACCACCGCTCACCCCCCATTATAACTGGTACTTTAATTTTTTTTTCTTTTCTATATTTGTGATTTGATTTTTAGTATGAATATAAATATATTTATTATTAATTTTTTTTATTACTGCATACCTTAAGGCACATGGAATAACTAGTTATATTATATTATATTACTAATAAAGATACCTTAACATGAAAAAAATTTTATTCACTATTTTACTCTTATAAAGAATTGTAAATGTAACTCTATCCTTATATAGTTAAATATCTAAATTATTATCACATCCTTATGTGTTTAATTATCAATTTTCTATGTATAAATATGAATATCTATAAAAAAAATTTAATTGATTATATTACCCTTAAAAATATATATGCATTATTATAATCAGCAGTATATTTGATCCTAATTGATCTAACTAACTCTTAATTATAGTAAGATTTTAATATGATTAGAATATTGATAATTATTTTTATTTTAATCAATGAATTATAAGTAGAATTCTAATCAAATGAATTTCTAAAAAATAAATTCAAACATCACTAAAAAAATCACTCTCAATCCAAAAATTTTAAAAATAGAACTTTAATTATTATAATTTTTTTTTATAGTTAGACCAATGAATAGTTAGGACAATCAAAGTTTTCATAATTCTATAATGCAATTTGAACGATAAAAAAAAAAGTTTGGTAAACTTAAGATGATATTAAATTTATGCACATATACACATAATATTTTTTATTAATTTTTTATGTACAAAAATTATTTATGTCAAGACACATATTCCATTGCTAGTATACACAAATGTTAGTATACCATTTACGTATTTACATACGTACAAATGTTAGAATATTTTAACTAAAAAAATATTTTTTATGTGGGTACTCAATTTTACATCGACTAAATATCTGAAAGTACTTGAATATATATATATATATATATATACTAGTGTTATTTAACTATTGAGTTAAAATAAGACCTTAGGACTATAACGGCGCAGGCGTAAAATAAGCGGAGTAGAGACGGATTTCTAACAACAAATTACTTTTATACAATCGTCATCCTGTATTTTTTTTTCCTTAAAAAAAGTTACCAAACAGTATATTTGTTTTTTTGTTTCAATTTATGTTTTTATCCCTGCATTCTAGTACGTGATTAGTAATCTGTCTCTCACCCAACTCAAATCGCAATCATGGATTATGTTGAACAATGGGTCTACAAAGTTTCTGACAGTGGGGGCCCAAAACACTAATCCTGCTGGGCTTAGATGCCAGCAAATACGAAGCCACAACACACATGATATGACACTCTAGTGGATGCGTTTTTTCATAGATCGATAGATCACAACTATAATAAAAAAAAAATTTAATTATTATGCATTTATAGTAATTGAAAAAGCACCCTTACCAAAAATAAAGAGATGGTCAAAAACATACACAACAGAACCCCTAAGAGGAGGGTTAAAAAAAAGGGGTTGGGGCAAGAAAGAGTGTTCAGCGATTATCCCGATAAGTCCTCACCGGTGGAATCATAAGGCCCCTGATCGCGCTTGAAACATTCTCTCCAAATCAAACCTACGTAGGCTAACATAGCGACCAACCACCAAGTTCTAATAGAAACTCTAAAACTCGAACTCCCAACCTCAAAATGAGAAGTAAGACTGACACCCCACTAAACCACTTTACTTGGTGATTTAGAGGAGGGGTTAAGAATACTTAATGGTCATTGAATTCTCACTCAGTCAACAATTACTTGCAACTTGCCGTGTTAGTTGAAAATTTCTCTATGTGACTGGTCTTGTGACTATTTAGCAAAAAAAGAACCCCCAAGAGGAGAGCATGGGAAATCAACTTACACCTTTTTTGGTTACTACTAATTGGTGTTATTTATGACCAATCTTGATATTTTATGATCGACATATATTTGTGATTAATCACGATAATTATAATTTTTTATTACTTGAATTTTAAAATTGTAATCTTTGGTATGATATTAAAAAAAGTGATTTGGTAGAATTACTCTTTGTTACTGTATTGGGTAAGATAATATTAGAGTACAATAAAGATATCGTGTCGAAAATTGATTTAAATTCTTAATTTTGATTGGGATAATATGAGATAAATAGTTCATTGTAATGTATCTTTAGGTCACGTCAATAGTAAAATTCATACGTAAATGATGATTGGATCATGGAGATGGTTAATCAAATTTCACGTAAATTGATTCAGAATAAAAAAAAAAAAAAAAAAGGGAAAAAAGCCTCCAACCTTTTGCATTTTAAACACCAAGACATGACTGGCCGACAACATTTTTCACCAAATCGTGTTAGTCATCACCCACGTTTCTATTCCTTTTACTGCCATAAACATTGAGTATCACATTGTTATTAAACATTAAGATTATGTGTTTGAACATCTTCATTCATTTTTTTCTAAGTGCATAATGAAAAAAAACTTTAAATTTTTATTAATTTTAGATAAATCACCCACTTCCAAAATAAATAGGTTCTACTATACTTTTTTTTATATTCATTGATAAATTTCTATTACAATTTAATTAAAGGTTGTAATCTAATTAATCTACATTAAGAGAATGGGACTAGAAACTCAATGAATGACATTATTACGATTAATTTATGTCTATATTATTAATAAAAGTATCATAATATGAAAAATTTTTGATTCACTATTTTACCGTCGTAAAAAATCATAAAAGCTAGCATGTCATTTTATATTTAAATATTAAATATTTAAATTATCATTACATCCTTCTATACTTAAATAATAAACTAACTTCTAGCATATTATGAAAATATTTCCATCCTTACAAAACTTTTAGATAATCATGTTACTCTTGACATGGTATATAAAAATATATATATATTTTTTTTCAAAATCTCAATATTAATACGCACCAATAACTTTGTTTTTGTTGATACAATATTATTTTCGTTGCCAAAAATCTATATATATATATATATATATTTTTTTTGTCCACAATACAAATAATTTAAGTATGATAAACATGAAATAAAATTTAATTTAGTTATATAATTTAATTTTTATATATTTTAACAAAAATAATAGCGTGTAATGCACGTAGTACATTGCTAATTTACAGTAAAAATAGAGGAAAAAAACCTATTAAAATAGAGAAAAAAAATCCCAAGAGAACCATATAAAAAGATAAATAAAGCATCTAGAAAATGTAGAGTAGATTGCTCATTTCTTTTGCCAAAGATTGATATCTCACGTTCCGATTAAGGAAATCAACGATAATCAATTGGGCTTTTAGATTACTTGCTTAGGTCCAATTTATACACAATAAAACTCAATAATTAGTTGACACCTTATTAAACTAAATTAAAAAAAAATAAAATTAAACTTGAGAATGGAGATAATACAAATTTATCTTGTAAATCTATATAATAAAATATAATACAATTTAAATTCTAAAATATAAACAAAATAATTTTTGTACTTTGCGGTCCAGGTTATTTCTAAATTTGTCTAAATCTGATGCGATGGTTGAAATTAGCTTGAGAAAAAAAAATTCCCACCTAAACATTATAGTTGCTCTCTCACGTTACTCTCCCTCCTCAACCCTAACTCAACGTGGCTTCTCTCTCGAGCCCTTCTTTATCTCTCTACTCTCACGCACTTATCCTCATTTCTCTCTTTTACCTCTCTTTCTCTTCTCTGCCATGGATCTGCCCACCTGCGACCTCTCTCCTTTCACACCCACCTATCTCCTTTCTCTCTTGTACCTTTCTCTCTTACTTCGTCTTTCTCTCTCCCATCCCCGAAGCACCCATCGACAGTCAGAGAAGTATTGACAAGGAAATAAAAGAAGAGGTAGAATTATCACATAGAAAGCACCCATCGATAGTCTTATTTCCACTCCCACGCACCGAACCACTGCTGTAGCATCCAACGAACCACTAGCGACAAGTAATCTTTGAGCTCACTCTCTCTCTCTCTTTGTTTACACACCTCTCTGTCTCCCTCACACACCATCTGCTTCTCTTGCAGATTTCTCCCCCCTTCCCCCATTTAATAGATACACATTTAAGCCACCACCACACACAACCATAGGCTCCACCACCCTTAGCCCCTCAACACACACCTTCAGCAATATAAACTAGATCCGTCGATCTGGTGAAAATACTTGCAGATAACTAATTTTTCTTTGGTGTATGAGATTTGAATGATATATTTTGATCAAATCCTCTGACAAATTTTCTTTAGTACATGAGATTTGTATCAAATTTTTTGATCAAATCATCGATCGATTTTATCAGTTTTTTGTCTGAGAATTGATTTCTATTTAGCAATGAAAAAACAAGTGGGGACATTTGAGCCCAATTTATAACACCATAATCATTTGGTGGAAACTAATAGGAATCTAGGAGTTTGTAGAGTGTATTTTTGTAATATTTGATGGTCTTTAATTTTGGTTAATTTGATGCTTTTGAATTGGGTTAAGTGCACTTTGAATCTTAGAGGCATGATTAATAATTAGTCTATATAATAAAATCTAATATAATTTAAATCTCAAAAGATAAATAAAATAATTTTTATATTCAACTATTTAGATCATCTCACAATTATGTCTATTTTAATCTAATGGTTGAAAATTATTACTAATTTTTGTTCTCCCGCACAAAAATTGTGCATCATAAGACGTGCAACGTAGCAAGGGCTTGGCGTGCCCTGTTTATTGAGACTTTGGGCTTCTTTCAGGTTTGGCCCCCACTCATATAAACTATTCATTTCCAACCATTACCTCACTTGAAGCCAGATGTGTTTATTTAGCTGTATACAATAGTTGCATATGTACTCATTGGTATTACTTCTCCCGCCAAAGTGATTGTGTGTTTCAATTTTATTTATTTTTTAAAATATATACATATTTATTGAATTCTATTATCATAACAAAAAAATTATCTATATAATAAAGTACAAAAAAATTTAAATCCCCAATATATAAAAATAACTTTTATTTTTTGCGGCTTAGATCATCTCACAATTATGTCTATTTTTAGTTGAAAATTTTTATTAATTTCCATCCAATATTTAATCAGATTAAATCATAAAAATCAGACTTTTTGCTCATTTTTCCGATATATTTTTTGGGTATTACGTAGTGTTTTTCGGTATGAGCCTTAACTAGATTTATATTTTTTTATTTGTTATGCAATGTCTACAAGTATATGTGGCGTTTTTTGTTTTTTTAGTTATGCAATGTCTACAAGTATTCTAATCAAGTTTAGTTATCCATATCTATATGAAATTTACTATTCTCATCGTGGAAATTTTTTAAGTATTATTATAGGTAATAGGCATATGTAAAATTAACAATCAATAGAAATACCTATTAGTTGGTTTCGTAATTTAATAAATAACGACACACGTAAATTTACATAATATTAGCTTTAAATCCCTTGATTTCATAAATATTTTTTATTAGTTCAACAATTAGGTGTATTCGGGTGGGCAGATCATCTGCATCGACATATGAGAGATAAATTTCTCACCACTTAATTTTAAAAAATTATCAAAATTTGAATTCAAGACATCTAAATTTATAGTTCATCCTATTATCTATTGAGTTACTTGGATAAGAACAATGCTACAAAATTCAAAAAGTTGTAACCTAAATACATATTATTCATTAGATGAGTGAGTCATATTATTTTTTTTGTGGAACATACTCATCTCACATTTATCTAAGAGATGATATACATTTAAATTTATATTTTTGAGTTATGTAACATTTTTCAATCGAATAATTATATACACTTGATATTGATAAAAATAAAAATAATAATAATAATAATAATAATGACAAAAAATGATAAATCTGGAAGGAAGTGAATCCCCATCTTCACTCAAAAGTAGAAAAACATAAAAAACACTACAGTCTACAGATAGATAGAAAAGCTAGTAGAGATTGACAGAGGGAAGGAAACCAAGTAGGCCTGCTTCCCAAGCAAACAAAGGCCCTCTGGTTTCTCTCTCTTCTTCAAGACAAAACCAGCTTTAACTCCACGGCCACCACACAGCAAAAACACTGATTCTCTTCCATGGCTACCAAACTCACTCTCTTTCTCTTCCTTCTATCCCTTACGAGTCATCTCAGTCCCACATTACAACAAAAATCAAGTCATAACCCATCAACACCAACCAGTTCCGGCCAAGTCAACTCCAACTCAGTCCTGGTCGCCCTTCTGGACTCCCATTACACCGAACTCGCCGAGCTTGTAGAGAAGGCCCTCTTGCTCCAAACACTAGAAGAAGCAGTGAGCAAACACAACGTCACAATCTTCGCCCCCAAGAACGAAGCTCTTGAAAGAGACCTCGACCCCGAGTTCAAGCGATTCCTCCTCGAACCCGGCAATCTCAAGTCCCTCCAAGCCCTTCTCCTCCACCATATTGTCCCGAAGAAGATCGGTCTACACCACTGGCCTGACTCACCCGCTGAGTCAACTCAGTATGAAACTCTATCAATGGATTCAGTCCAACTCTCTTGCATTGATTCTCACACCAGGCAAGTAAGCTCCGCAATGGTGACTTACCCAAACTCCATTGTTCGCCCAGATGGAATTATTCATGGGATTGAGAAACTCTTAATCCCAAAGTCAGTTCAACAAAATTTCAACCGGAGAAGAAGCTTACGATCAATATCTGCTGTTAAACCGGAGGGAGCTCCGGAGATTGACCCAAGAACCAACCGCCTTAAGAAACCAGCACCTCCAGTTCCAGCCGGTTCGCCACCGGTTCTGCCCATTTACGCCGCTATGGCTCCAGGTCCATCCTTAGCTCCGGCACCGGCGCCGGGACCAGGTGGGCCCCACCACCACTTCGACGGCGAGAGTCAGGTGAAGGATTTCATTCAGACATTACTCCACTATGGTGGGTACAACGAAATGGCTGATATCTTGGTGAATCTGACCAACTTAGCTACTGAAATGGGAAGGCTCGTGTCCGAGGGGTATGTATTGACTGTTTTGGCGCCGAATGATGAAGCAATGGCTAAGCTCACCACGGACCAGCTGAGCGAACCCGGTGCGCCGGAGCAGATAATGTACTACCATATTGTGCCGGAGTATCAGACCGAAGAGAGTATGTACAATGCGGTGAGGAGGTTCGGAAAAGTCAGGTACGATACTCTGAGAGTTCCACACAGAGTTGTGGCTCAGGAGGCTGATGGGTCGGTGAAATTTGGGAACGGTGACGAAACGGCCTATCTGTTTGATCCAGATATATATACTGACGGGAGAATTTCAGTTCAGGGTATTGACGGCGTTCTTTTTCCGGCGGAGGAAAAGGAACCGGAGAAGGAGGTCAGAACAGTTGCTCGTGTTAAAGTTGTGACCAAGCCTCGGAGAGGTACGCTGTTGAATTCACTTTCTTTGCTTGTTTCATAGTTATTAGTTTTGCATTGTGAAATTTTGGGTGTTGGTCCATGAATTGGCGTCGGAGGTGGTTGTGGTGGTGGCCGGAAAGTGGTGGTTTTGACCGGTAGATCAGAAATGCCGGTTAGGGCGTGGGTAGGGTGCTGGTAATTGATAGTCTGTATTTGGGTATAACGGGGGTTAATTAGTAAAAGTGAGAGAAATTTAATCAGAATTGATGGGACCTTATTAGAATATCTAAAAGCCGGGGGGGCATGTCAGTGATTTATAATAATTATGCTTCAAACTTTAATCGGTCAAAAGGTAATTCTGAAAACTCGGCCTCTCTTTACCAGTTTACCTACATGTAGCTTGCCCATGGTAATTAGGGTTGTCGGTGGGTCAGAAATGACCGGAGGGCAAAATGGTCCTTCTATGCTTTTGGTTTGTCTTGTACTGTTGGCTCCTGGTGGGTTGCTTTATTGTTAGGTTATGGAGTATAATGAGGTTGCTTAGGTTTAGATATCTTTGCCACCAAGTGTAATTACACACCCTTTTTAAATTCGCACGAGTAATAAGAATTATGCTAGAATTGGCCTAAAATTTGTAGATTCAGATGTAAACCCAAACCCTCTTGGGCTTGAGTTTTCTAACATCATAAAATTCAGATTTAATCAATGCGTGTGATTTGTGAATAATTATGTATACTTGAGATTTGTGTTATTATTATGAGTTCAAAATGTGTGTGACTGAGACGTTACCCAATTACTTTGATGTGAAAATGGGGGTAGTTATATTGTCCATATCATCATACGGAAGGTGGCTGTGATGGTGCTGCTGAAAATTCCAAACCAGCGAAGGTGGCTGTCGGTGCGTGGAAAAATTTTACACACACACACACACACATATATATAAATGCTAAAGGAAAGAAAACAATGCAAAGTCCAACCACCATACGAATAAGGTTTTTCTTTCTGGAATCTTGACCGACTCTCCTCCCACTCCTAAACCAAAAACAATGGTGTTTTGCTGGCTCTCTTTGCTGATGTATGCATACATATTTCTATATTTTATACCTATGCTATAAGATTCCTTGAGCATGATTTGTTTTGTTTGCATTCTCATCATCTTATTTCCAATGATTTTTAACAATTGAAGATTTGTCTGGCCGCCATCAATGTGTGTACCAAACCCATTCAATAAAAATTGTCATTTACTCATTTTGATCTCTGTTTACTTGAAAAATCTAGAGAGAGGTGGGCTTAAGGCTGATANGAAGATTTGTCTGGCCGCCATCAATGTGTGTACCAAACCCATTCTATAAAAATTGTCATTTATTCATTTTGATCTCTGTTTACTTGAAAAATCTAGAGAGAGGTGGGCTTAAGGCTGATAATGGGCTTGTCGTGTCTAAGTTGTTGTGTGGTGTCAAGATTTATTCAATTTATGTTCCATCCATCTCTAATCATATATTGTCAAATTCATGTTATGTCGACCTATTTATTTATTTATCACGTTTGACTAGCTAACTCAGTTATATATGACTTGAATATAAACCATATTCAATAATTTTGTGTTATTAGGGTTGGCGGGTTGTGTTAGAATTGACGGTCAAAGATGACCTAGTACCAATTTAATTTTTGTTATTGTTCACACAAAGTTACTGCCCTCAAATTCTAGCCTAATTACTAACTCAATACTTTTGCTACTGCACCACTATACCCTTATTTGGACCCATTCTATATTTTACACAAATCTACATATTAGATCCAAATATTGAGATCGTGCTACAATTTCTTTTTTGGCACAACTGGATAGAGGGGTCTGATTATGATTGATTGCTGCAATTACTTTTTAACTTGTTTAGTTGGAGGAGAGTTGCTTTCATGAAGTTGTTTTCTGCTAAATTTTTTTTATATTAATTTAAGTTGAGTGAGGTTGGACTANCACACAAAGTTACTGCCCTCAAATTCTAGCCTAATTACTAACTCAATACTTTTGCTACTGCACAACTATACCCTTATTTGGACCCATTCTATATTTTACACAAATCTACATATTAGATCCAAATATTGATAGAGGGGTCTGATTATGATTGATTGCTGCAATTACTTTTTAACTTGTTTAGTTGGGGGAGAGTTGCTTTCATGAACCACTAACAAGTTGTTAAGTTGTTTTCTGCTAAATTTTTTTTATATTAATTTAAGTTGAGTGAGGTTGGACTAACATATTTAATTAATCTGTATAATTTTTTGGCAGGGAATTTGCTTGAAGTGGCTTGCCGGATGCTTGGGGCCTTTGGGCAAGATTCCCGGTTTACCACATGCCAGTGAAACTACCCTCAACTCCCTGCATCAAGAGAAAACTCCCAAGGACAGAAAGGTAAATTTCTAATGGACCATGCAAGATAGGACCGATAATGAATACATGTAGTTTTCTATGAAAATTAACTCAACTCATATATGATCTATTTATGAAATGGATCGGACGGGTTAACCTGATTATAACTCAAAACTCGTCAAGCCGAAACTCATACTCTATAACTTTGTATCAATTTCGTGTCAAATTAGGGAATCGTGTTATTGTTCTCTGTAGCAGCTTGGGTTATTCANGATAGGACCGATAATGAATACATGTAGTTTTCTATGAAAATTAACTCAACTCATATATGATCTATTTATGAAATGGATCAGACGGGTTAACCTGATTATAACTCAAAACTCGTCAAGCCGAAACTCATACTCTATAACTTTGTATCAATTTTCGTGTCAAATTAGGGAATCGTGTTATTGTTCTCTGTAGCAGCTTGGGTTATTCATCCTCAGGCTTCATGAGAACACTAATTAATAAGGTTATTGTGTACAGAAATTACATGGTCCACTGATGCATCTGTTGCACACCACACTTCTCACATTTTTTTCTGAAATCTAATTTATTAGTTTAATCTATTGATGATGGATTAGCAGTTGATCATAATNTTACATGGTCCACTGATGCATCTGTTGCACACCACACTTCTCACATTTTTTCCTGAAATCTAATTTATTAGTTTAATCTATTGATGATGGATTAGCAGTTGATCATAATATTTGAATGGATCCACTGTCAGTTCAATAATAATAATAAAATAAAATAAAATAAATTAATAGATTAGGTCTAACCGATCTTACACTTGTGTGAAAAATCTTTGGCTTTGGAGTCCTCCAATGTCCAGTATTTTGTGACCTTCTACTCTGCTTTTGTGCAAATAATATCAAATAACATATCACTGTAATGAAATTTTTTTATAACCAGGTCAGTTCAAATGAAAAATTCTCAATGACGTAGCTTAAGGCTAAATGTTTGGACATGAAGTACATAGTTTACTAGCGACTGCATGCATCCAAAGTTCGTGTTGGTGACATCATATAGTGGTGATGTTCTAGTCATCTTGCCGTGCACTGAAGTTAAGGGGCCATAATAACTTTTCTCTTTACACTTCTCTTCTAAGGAAGGTATCCCTTTCCGCCTAAAAAGGAAAAGGAAAAGATAAAAGCATGCTATATGACACACACACACACACACACACACAAATATATATATATCCAATTTATGAACTAACTTACACAAAACCTAGTAATATTTGTATTCAATGCAGGAACACAAACAGTGTTTAAAAGTTGTAACTTGAGATGTGGTTTACTGCTCTGAAAATAGGATATTAGTTTTTGCAAGGTAGGCAGCAAACGTGAAGATGGGAAATCCTTGAAGTTCATCTTTTAGCATGGTGGTGTTGGTGTAGGATNAAAATAGGATATTAGTTTTTGCAAGGTAGGCTGCAAATGTGAAGATGGGAAATCCTTGAAGTTCATCTTTTAGCATGGTGGTGTTGGTGTAGGATTGAGAAGGTCTATGCCAGGGGTGGCTGCATGCATATACCAAGAAGCTGCAGAGAATTTTTTGCATTTTATTTTGTGAATAATGGTGGTGAGGTGAGCTGTTTGTTGCTGGCCATGAGAGAGATGGGACTGGGAGGTCATTAATTTTTGTGTTTCTCCACTCAATAAAAATTAAACAAAAGTAGTGGGAATAATTAAATAAAAAGGTATTCTTGTGTTCATGGCCCATTGTAATAAATGTATTGTGTTTTTGAATGCAATGTATTTTCATTACTTTACTTTTTCTTTTGTTTGTTTTCTGGGTGAAATTCTTTTGAGAATTCTCGAAACAATTTCGTAATAGCAAATAGACCTCCTATATATCCATGTACAACTTGTCGATCAAACACCTTAAAAAAAAAACTCACAATTGGTTGACCAACAATTTCAATCTCTCTCCCACAGCCTACCATTCATATATACCAAATTGGCCTAAAAACTATTCCTCATTATGAGTTATAATGTGCATCATGCTTGGCAGTAGGAACAGAGCATTGCTTTAGGTTTTCTATGATTCATTCAATGTTTCAACTACATAANCTGAGTTATAATGTGCATCATGCTTGGCAATAGGAACAGAGCATTGCTTTAGGTTTTCTATGATTCATTTAATGTTTCAACTACATAAATAGCTACATGATTTTCTCCTCTAAATGATGACCACTAATGGAGATTCAACTTAACCCAAAATTCTGTCCCCAATGTTTGAGTTTACTAAAAGACATTTCATGGTGGAAAAATAAGTGGAAAAAAAAAGAAAAGAATTGACAGGCATTTCCTCTTTCTCCTCTTATACGTTCTCCAGTAATCTACCCCAATCTCTGCCCCCTCCCCCTCCCTCTACCAAACACCCTTCCCTCAACTGTGCCTCCAATCCAACCACACACAGGGCAAAGCATGACAAATTAAGTTCAATCTTACCCCAAACAGGACCATGTATGAAAAAACAGGATAAATTAAGTTCATGTTGAGGGATCAACTATTAAAAAGGACCTTTAACAGAATGTTGTTCCACAACAAGGCAAAATATGTTGGAAACCCAGGAAAAACCAGATAAAAGTAGTGAAGTCAAAGAAAAAAGGATATACATAAAAGAGATCAAAAAGTGAAGGGTGGCAACAAAGAAAATGGAGGAAAACCAACAAAAATCAGGGTATCAAGATGGACATGTCATGATACAGATCTTGCAAAGTCGGGGCTTTAACAAACTATATTAGTACTGCAAATCTGGCTCATTTTTTTTCTTTTGGAAAAACAAGACATTGTGGACAAGTTAGAATCCTAAGGAGCAGAAGAGAACTTGATAATCATCATACAACTCCTCTTCTTACTATAAACATGCCATTGGTTAACAAATTGGTAGAGTTTCAAAAATATACAAGTGGAATCTCAAAATGGAATACCAAGACAATAACTCGGGAGATCATCATTGTTCCATGGAATTCAAGTACAGATCGCGTTGTTTAATGTAATCAATTACTTCATCTACTGTCAAATATTTCACTGACAAACCTTTGGTTATGCAATCCCTGATAAACATAAAATATAAGAAATGAACCCTGTTAGATTCATCAATTAAATTACCTCTTAACTTTATCCTTTTTCCTCTCCCAAGTGTAAACAACAGGAAACTATTTACCTCAACCGTGTCGAACTGAGTCCATTTGGTACTAGTTCATCCACAACTTTGATGTTACTCTGCAAGGATACACCCAGCAAAAACAAAAGTAAGCCAAGAACTTTGGAATATATATGTATTGAATCTCTGATGTTTAAATTACTTGGGGAGGCTCCTCATCCAAAGCCAAGACCAGAATTTTTAGGATTTCAAACAATTCCAATTTTTTTCCTTTTGGGATTAAACCAGGAAAGGTCTAGTACCAACCCTTTCAAATGCAGAGACATTAATTATGAAGTCGAAAATTCAAAAACCCTTGAATAATGCTTCTCTAAGAAAATGGAAAGACCCTGGGAAGATATTCTTTATTTTGAGACAAAATATAAATGACCAAAAGAAAACTTATCCAACGTGCAAAGCAAAAGCACTCAAAAGGGCAAATTAGCAATTGAAACTTGTGTTACCTTGTATTCGATCAAAATGTCATCATTAGAGATGATTTTCTCAACATCTTGGCCATCTCTGCGGATACAAACCACACCATAGTCTGAACATATAGTCCTCACCTAATAATTCAAAGATGCACATTTGGATCAATAATTATCTTGTTCTCAACATTTTCGAATGGCTTCAACCCTACCATATCATTGGCTCACAGTTCCCTAGACACCAACTGTTGGGTTGATTTGGTATGTGGTACTAGTACGGATATGTATTACGATACTTTCTAGTGAGCACGGAGCGATGGAGGTAGACTCAAACCTCATTTTCGAATTCTCCCTTTACTACTATGCAAAATTATATATAACTGTACAAGCATAGTCAACGAATATATATTTTGCATTTTTTATCATTTTCCTATTATCTGAAATTACATGTAATTGTACATCTATACCCAGATAATTAGTATTTATCATGAATTTGTGAGCGATTTCTCATAACTGTGCACTAATCTAATGTCTTCAAACAATGAGATAGTAACACATTAGATAAAAACTTGTACTCTAACAAATTGATCAGAAACTCATTATGCAATGATGAGTGACGACCGTGGTCATGGTTAAGGTAATATAAGCCGTGGAAAGGATAAGCCCCTTTAGAGATAGGGGCTACGGCAGTGCAATAGGTAGTCTTGTGGCATCAATAATCCTTGCAACTAAAAGCAGCATAGAGCACAACAAAAGCATGACATCTGAATAGATGGTGGCACAATATTTTGTCTCAAGGATCGATTCATGAAATTGAACTTAGATTTTGCTTCCTACTATAAATGATCATCAATGTAACGAAATTTACCTGCTCACGAATCCAAGCTCCTGGAACACCGAATGAAGTTAGAAGATCAGAACCACAGACAAGCATCACTTTTAGGGATTCTACAAAAAGGAGAAAAGCAAATCTTGACATTTCCATCGAAGCCAATGAACAAATATTCAGAAATGCAATCCAGCTCCTGCTAAATACATATAAAACCAAAACCAATCATATGACAAAGCCTTGTAATAATAACACCTCAGGAATAGTGTTGGCAATGCATTTTTTTTTTTAGGGAATATTGGCAATGCAACTTAAGTAAGCAACCTATGTAAACAAATTGTGTCACCCTCCTGCCTTCAATTTTTAACAGTCCTAGGCAGGCTTAAAAACCAAAAAACTGAAGAAGGTCACAAAGATTTCTCATTTATAAAAGAGTTTTGGAATTACAGATATGTAAAACTCAAGGCTGGCAAACTCAATACCAAACAGAATGAAAAGGGAGTAATTTATTCAAAAATAAAGTAAATTCTTAACGCCAAAAAACCTTCAACTATGTCTTGATTTGTCTAGGAAAGATGATGAAGCATTATAGAGCTCAATTGCTAAAACATTAAAAATAATAAATACTGAAAACAAATTAAAAAACAAGTAGGGGATCTAATGGTTATGAAAACCTTACCACTGGGTACCAGTCCCCTAGCACACAAAGAACTCTTGATCCTAGATAAAACAGTCAATGTGCGTTGGAAGGAGCTTTGATTTGCCTGAAACAAGAAATTAAAACTTCCGAATCATTTTCCCACTGTGCTGACAGGGTTCAGACAAGACCCAATAGATTCGTGACACTAAATCTAGACGCCAGGCAGACACATGATAATATGACACCTAAATATTAGAATAATGTACAATGCGTATACTTATTGTAAGAACTTGTATGGACAAAGAGAGAGGAGGACGAGAGTGAGTGAGAGAGGACCTCCCAGGGATCAACCATTACGAATTTAGAACTCCTGCAAGCTAGGTGGCACATTCGAACACGATGTTCAGCAGATATAAGGCCCTACAAGAAGATGACCAAGTTAGCTACTACTTTGTTTGAAAAATTTTAAGACGCCGCCATAAGGGGAAAAGTGGTTTTTATGATATAACTGAGTTATAACTCCTTTGGTCAGGCAGAGAGTGACAATCAGACAACAGAGTATCTAGTGCAAACACAAACTTGACCAAGCAGGCTGTGCTACAATTCACAGTACCGGATGGCAACTGACATATTCCTTGTTGAATTTACAAAAACAACTAAAGACTAAAAAAAAAATTGAAATATTTCATTAAGCCTGTCCAAAGTTAATATTTCGTTAAAATAAAGTTCAAACTTACACTCCCATAGCGGGTTCTTTAATATAAAGATATAATCCCTCATCTTAAACTGATACCAAGTACCTTATTTGTTTTTCCCAGTGTTGTGAAAAGCAAGGGCAAGCCTTGACGAGAGGTAGAGCGAAGCGAGCCTTGGTCGCCTTGAACAGCCAAGGCAAAGCGAGGTGAAGTAAAGTACGGAAAAAGTAAGCTTAGACAACANGAAGCGAGCCTTGGTCGCCTTGAACAGCCAAGGCAAAGCGAGGTGAAGTAAAGTATGGAAAAAGTAAGCTTAGACAACAAAGCGAGCCAGACGAGAAAAGCAAACGCCTGACTACAATTATTTTTTTTTATTTTCTTCTACTTGAACCCTAACAGAGATGATGTTATACATGTATATGTATAAAATAAAATTGATTGATTCATCTGACAGTATCATATAGTAATCTGTCTTGTTATGATTAAATGATGTTGAATGTTTTGTTTTGTGGTGAATCCTCTTGTTAATCAATTTGCTTGGTTAATTAAATTGATTAATCAATTTATTATATGCTTTATTTGATTAATCAATTTGCGAATGCTCTATTTAGTGGTGATATTAATCAATTACAGTGAGAGTCGAACCCACATTTGCTAGCTTTCCATTTAGATGACGAAATTATGTCAATTAATTATTTTTAGAATGTAATACTGTTCAATATTTAATATCTTGTTTATTTAAAATATATAGATATTTATTATTTTGGTTGCATTTAAATATTTTGTATTTGTAAAGTTAAAACTTGAATATTTAGGAGCAATCAGAGTATTAAATTAAAATATTTTTTTATTTTTTATATTATTCGCTTTGCTTCGATGATGTATTCGTTTCGGTTCTCGCCTAGGCCCTCAGGAGACTTGTTCGCTTTGATTACGCCTTATATAACACTGATTTTCCTAAAACTAGCATATAGCATCCTTAATGAGTATAAACACCAGAAATCTTAAGTCTTATGCTTTGAAACTAATATTATTTCAAAAGAAAAATTCAGAAACGAAGAGTTAATAGGAAGAAATACATTAGGTAAGAAGGTCCCAATTTCAGAACTAAATTTTTGGAAAGAGGAAAGCAAAGAAATTCACTCGTTGGTTTACCAGGTTTAAGGAACTACAGGGGCTATGACGAGAAGGACCAGGTTTGTTAGGGGGCAGAAATCCATCCTTTTTGATTATCATGAACGTTAAGAATATCCTCTTGCGTTCTCTTCTTAAAATTTGTCTTTGATGAACTGATTTTCTTTTTAACCCAACATCAAAAGGAAAAAAGGACGAATCAAAAATGAGAGAAAGAAAGGAAGGGGAAATTGAAGTTTCTTAATGTAGCTCTTGCTTCACAATTTTAGGGTCACTTAAAGTAAATAATCTATCAACTTCCATATGCTGATGCCTGAAAGCACAATCAACTAACATGCTTAATGATTGCTACAAATCACTACATACCTTCTTTTTGTATGCATCATTCACAGGTGACATATAACCTCCAATAACGCAAAACCCTCCAGAGTTTAATGCATCCCTTGCCAATTCTAAGCATAAAAACAAAGTTAATCAATATGCAATGAACAAATGCATATAAGGTATATAATCCACATAGGCGTATACACAGCTTAACAGCATAGCTAAGATAAATTTTTTTGAACAAATCATAATTTTCTTATTCATCCATCTAAAATTATCCTAAATTTACTATCAAGTGATAACAGACAAGAAGGATACAATAAAATTAATGCTTAACTGCATTGATAAGTGGGGGATGATACTGAGGTTTGGAATCAATTTACGCAGACAAACTACCTTTGCTGGCCTATTAAAAATACCACAAGAAGATATTAAGGTATTAAAGCAATTCTTTGGAATTCCACAATAAATAAACACTTTTGTTAATGCTTTCTAACGAATTACTTAACGATTGCATTTCTCATCAAGCACATGATGCGAAATAACCAGTAAAAGAAGGAAGTACGGGGGGACTAAATTAACTGTAATTTTATCTATAACAGAAAAGACAGAGGGTAACCCCCCCCCAAAAAACAAAAAACCATAAACAGAATCATTTAACAATGATAACACAGAACAGGTCAACGAATAACTCGGCAGGCTATGCCACTCCCCATTTTTTGTGTCCTCCAACCATTCATTATCTTCAGAATTTTCTGTTCTTTTGCTAGGCATCATTATATAGTAAAACAGTATCATTTGATGGAAATTTTCAAAACATAGAATTTATAATCTACTTCTCTACTAATTTACTTGATCAATTTAACTATTTTCAAAACAAAAAACGAATAGAAGTACGGAAAATTCTAGGGCTTATGGCAGACTTCTTCAACTAACATGTACCCAGTAGCTTACTTTCCAAAACACTAACATGACAATAAAATCCTTTAGAATGGCTTCTTTGCGTGAATACTTTCCTAGTCACACTAAGGCTTATGGCAGACTTCTTCAACTAATTAAGTACCCAACAGCTTACTCTCCAAAACCCTAAGATGACACAAAAATCCTTTAAAATGACTTCATTGCATGAATACTTTTCTTAATTACACTAACAAAAGGCAAAACCTCCTATCCCAATAATGTAACAATCTTGGAACACCATAATAGTAATTAAAAGTTAAAACATTAATTTCACACGAGGGCAGTAAAACTGTAAAAGTTAACTAAGCAATAACATATGAAAATGACATCAGTGCATATGCATACAAGGTTGAAGCTTAAAGTCTTAGAACACCTAATAAAATAGCTTAAAATTTCACCATTAAAACGACAAAAAGAGAATCGAGTGATAACTCACCAAAACAACGTAAGTGCATATATGTAGGAGGATTGAAGCTTCCAGTTGATACTAATACTACATACTTTTTCCCCCTGACAGAGAAACTAGAATTTCAAAAAATAATTCCCAAAAAAAAAAAAAAAATATAACTGTCTGCAACACCATATATCGGTAAAAAAGTTAATGGAAGGAAATTATTTTGTTATTAGATTAAATCCATGAGTTCAACTAGCTACAGTTCACAATCCACAAACAAAAGGGAGCATCACCAAACATGCGTATGCAAGATAAAATTTCAATGAGCCTAAAACCCTGTCTAAGAGCTTCCTCTTCAACAATAATTTCAGCTCAATAGACCCAGTATTTTGATTGATGGTAACTATATGTTCCTTCTAGCAAAATCAAATTCCAGAAATTTGAGAAGGCTAAAGAACTGTAAAAAAAATAAAGGCATTACATTGTATAAGACTTCAAGTAATCACCCAGAAAAACAAGGATGTAAAGCAATTGGAAAAAACGAAGTATAACTTACTCGGTAGACCTCTCTGTAGATCCCAAAGATAACTTTTCTAGCGGCAGCTCAAAATCCATATTACCTACAGAAGGAACATAAAGAAAACCCCATAATTCAAGTGTACAATAACAGAAATTATCAAAAAAATGCGCAGGATTTATGGTTCCACAGTGAAATTTGCGTACATACTCGCCTCTATTCAGCTGCCCTTTGTCGTGTAAGTTGAGAATTTATGCGTATGATTCTGTGCAAGCTTTGTCAAAAAAAAGTATGGAACTCTCTGATGGACGTCCTCTTTCAAAAGTTTGACTGTGTTGAACCCCAAATCCGACCTATACCGAACATTTTTGCGGGGTTTACAAGCAGAAACAAAGAATCCACAAGTCGTTGGACTTTTTTGGTGCAAAAATGGTCCAACGCGTGGTTTTCCAGATTATGTTTTTTTTTGGTGAAACTTCAATTTAGTCCCTCATGGTTTCCCTCAGTTGCACATAACCACCCTTTAGTCTGAAAAACCATCCTCTGGTTGTTGGACCATTAACTATGTTAACGGTAATAATAAAATGACCTCACTACCCATCACTTTATTTCTAATAGAAAAATAAAATCAACCACAAATTAACTCCGGCAGCCCCACCAAGCATCAACTCTGGCACCATTGCCACCCACTGCACCACCACTTAATGCACCATGTCAACAACCTCACCTTCACTTATAGCACTTGATGGGCCAAGCCCAAGACCCTAACTCATATTATAAGTCTGGTCCGAGCTAAAAGCTCATTTTCAAGAGATTCAACAAGTTCAGTTCAATGTGGTCAACCTGGTCAAGTTCATCAAGTTCAAGGAACTACATCAACAGGGAGTATGCAAGAGTCATCTAAGAACCTTCTCTACCACCTTGGAGTAAGGGTTATCCAAGAGCTTCTTCTATCACCTTGGAGTAAGAGTCATCCAAGAACCTCTTCTATCACCTTGGAATAAGGGTCTAAGCCAGTTAAGCCTATCAAGGAGCTACGCCACTAAGGGAGCATCTAGGAGCTTCACCCTCGTCGCTTGGAGAGAGTCAACCTTCCCTTATCCTTTGACCAAGTCCTTTAGAGAGCATCATAACTTCCTTACCCTTTGAAGAGAGGAGAGGTCGGTAAGCTATTTAATTACCGTTAAAGTCACCCCAATCCGTTATAACTATTAAACGACTCCAACCCGTTATGACCGCCAGACTAACTATTCAATTATTGTTGGGCTTTTGTGGAATCCAGTTTGTATGTTGATTCGGATGATGACCCGACCCGAAGTAATGTTTCGTATTTTTTAATGAAAAATTTTCTGAGACTTGAGATATATAAAAGACTGCTATTTTGGTGATTAGGGTTTGATCTATGTATAGTTGCTCTCTGTAATCCTCTATCTCAATAGTGAAAATCCTGCAACTTCGTGGATGTAGGCAAATTACCGAACCACGTAAAATCTGTGTCTTGTTCTTTCTTGTTTCTTTTTGGTTTATATTATTAGTTTGTTTTTCGATTGTGTGTGTTTGTTTGTGGGTTTAAAGTGTATTAAATCACAACAATTACTACACTAACCCACTACAAATTGTAAGCTCCATCAACACTTGAGGGACATCTTACTCATTTTGAGCATAATTCTCTCTTCCTCTTTGAATGCTTATAATCTTCTGCTCTTCCACTGCACCAGAGTTAATAAAATCCCGACGACCCTTACCATTTTAAGTAGACGTAGGTCACCTTGACCGAACCACTATAAACTTGATCTTCTCTCTACTTTACTGCATTTGATATTACTTAATTGACTGATGGTGTGTAAACCAATTTTGTGTATCATCAACGCTCATTCCAATGTCACCAATCACAACGTCAAAAACCCAAAGCTAAATCAGCCACCTCCACTGCATACAATCACTAAAAAACAAAGCCCAAAAACATCACAAAACAAAAATAGGAAATGGACCAAAATTGATACCGAACCAATATCGCAAGCGTACATACACATCAAACTAAAAATTAGAATGGAAACTGAAATGAAATCGAACCAAAATCGAAAAAAAAAATAGAATGAAACAAAAATCAAATGAATTGAACTAATATGAAATCGAACCAAATCGCAATCAAAAATTAGAATCGACCCAAAATTGGATGAACTGAACTAAAATGGAATCAAAGCCAAAATTCAAAATTCAGCCAGCCTGTTGTTGAACAAAAATTGCACTGAAAATTGAGAAATCATAGTTGTATCAAAATTTCAATTGAAGGTGGTTTTTATAGTTTGTTCGCCACCGAGTCGTAACTTTGATTCATACTCAGTTCAACAGAGTCTCCTGTGATGTTTGAGGGGGAAATCTAAACAAATGAGGTAGGTGGTGTTGGGTGAAATGGTGGTAGTTACAGTGGCTATTACCTAGAGAAATGAGATGCTGACTTAGAGAGAGAGAGAGAGAGAGAGAGAGAGAGAGATGAAGGTTGGGTTGGGTGAGACAAAAGAAAGCACAAGGCAGTGAAAGAACAGAGAAAGGAAGGGACAGGATGAAAAATTTGATGGTGCATTTTAGTTCAATAGCTACGAGGAGTTAAGTGTTATTTTTAAACTTTAAGGAAGTTATGTGCAATTATGGTAAACCATGAGGGACTAAAATGAAATTTTTCCTTGTGTTTTTTTCCCTGCAGAGAAAAGGTTGCGAGGCGTGTCAACCAGCAATTAGCCCGTGAGGATTGAATTTGGATTGAATTTTTATTCATTCGAAATTGAATTCCATTTTTGATATGATTATTTTTATAACGATTGGAATATTTTATTCATCCGAACTAAATCCAGCTTCAATTCATAATACGTAGCGATGATGCACAAAATAGTTTTGTACACCACTTGTCAAGTATGAATAATAAATATAAGAAAATAATATCAAGAGATGGAGAGACACAGACAATTTATAGTGGTTCGGTCAGCTCGACCTACGTCCACTGTTCAATGGCTTTGGTTGCCGGGTATTTTATTAACTCAAAGGTGTGGGGAGCAGATAGTACAAGCTTTGAGGGAGAAGAGAGAGTCGTGCTCAGGTAAAGTATGATCTGCCTCCCAAGTGTTGGTGGGGCTTACAATTTATTGTTGCCTCCTAACAGATTTGGACAAAATATTAGTAAGTAGTTGACTAGTTTGTTAGATCTGACGAGTTCTTCTCAACGTGCTAGGCAGTTGCGGTGCTCTCCATGAGATTCGGTCAAAAGATGAGGTGGGGTGTTGACCATCTCCAGGGCAGCGAGGATAGGGCTTTGGATGACCTTGCTTGCTCCTTGAGCTGCTGAGCTTGACCGGGCTGACCACATTGATGAGCTTGAACGGGTTGAGTTGATGAGCTTGAACAGCTTAAGCTGATGAGCTTGACCGAGTTGGCCATACTGGGCTGGATTTGCTAGATCTCTTGGAATCAGACTATAAACTTGAACTGAGCTTATAACATAAGTTAGGCCTTTGGGCTTGGCCCATCATTTGTCCCCTAATGTCATTTGTCCAATGAAACTTGGAAAGGAGGGCATTCGATTAAGTTTGAATTTTCGATTGACCGGTACAATTGAAAAAACTTTGGGAGGCCAAAACATCTGCTTCCAAGTCTTTTTTTTTGACTTTTTACAGAATTAGTCACAGCCAAAGGGTGTGAGTCTTGTAGGACTCGCCGAGAGCTTCAATTTGATATATTATAAGCCTCATTTGGAGTAACGGAACAGAAGTTACGGTTAAAATTTCAAGTAGAGAGCTAGGCGAGCAGTTTGGGTGAGCAGGAAGCTTCAAAGTGAGTTGGGCACTGTCCTGGGCGAGCTGGGCAGAGTTTTTTTTTTTTTTTTTTAAAATTTTGGGAGGATAAAACAGCTGTTTCTATCAAAATAGCGAGCAGGCGTGCTGGGGGCGCAGACAGCCGCCTGCAGGCCAGAATGGGGGCTGCCCAGGCCAGCAAGCGTGCAACAGGGGAGCTGGGCAATAGCCTGGGCGCAGGGGCAGATTTGGGTGCCACTTCAGGCACTGATTTGGGCGCCTTTGGAGCTATTTTGTGAAACTTTGGGGGACCAGGCAGCGCTAGGCTGCCCCATTTGAGCAAGCAAAGGTGGTCAGACACCTCTCTAGGTGCTAAACTATCTTGTTTGGGCGAGCATAGAGCGTTAGACACCTCTCCAGGTGCTGGGCTACCTCGTTTGGGCAAACAGAAAGCGTCAGACACCTCTCCAAGTGTTGGGCTGCCTCATTTGGGTGAGCACATAGGATCAGACAGCTCTCTAGGTGTTGGGCCGCCTCTTTTGGGAGAACAAATAGGATCAGACAGCTCTCTAGGTGTTGGGCTGCCTCGTTTGGGCGAGCACATAGGATCAGACACCTCTCCAAGTATTGGGCTACCTTGTTTGAGCGAGCAGAGAGCGTCAAACACCTCTCCAGGTACCGGGCTGCCTTGTTTGAGTGAGCACATAGGATCAAACATCTCTCCAGGTGTTGGGTTGCTTCGTTTGGGCACCTTGGGTGAGCTTGGGGTGCCTCGGGCACTTTGGGGGAATGCCTTGAGAGATTTAGGCAAGCCTCGAGCTATCTTGGGAGAGCCTGCTTGTAATGACAGAAATAATGTTATTCCAAACATTAAAATATCTCACATAATTACCTGGAGAGAGAGGTAGGCTGCTTGCGCGAGAGCAAAGACAGAGTTGGAGAACTGTTCGTGAGAGAGCTATACCTTTTGAGACCTAGCTTTTGACGACTCATGAGAGAGTCTTTAAGCTTGAGGTATAGGTTGCCTGTTTGAGAACAGTGCAGAGGCCAAGCTTTTTTGGTGACCTGTGAGAGAGCCGCTAAGCTGGAGATAAGCTGTCTGTTTGAGAACAGTGCAGATACCAAGATTTTTTGGACCACCCGTGAGAGAGCCGATAAGCTGCTTGTTTGAGAATAGTGTAGAGGCAGGTTAAGCTTCTGGTGATCTGTGAGATAATTCGAGGCAGGTCAAGCTTCTGGTGATCTGCGAGATGATTCAACTCGCCTAGACCTGTTGATTTCCACAACATTTATATATTTTTGAGCATTTGTCAATAATTCTAGCATACTCTTTAGTGGTCGCTTCATTACTGAAAAAAGGAATCTGGATGAACGGAGGCCGTCCAGAAAGGCGATCATGGTGACTTTGTCATTGGGCTCCTCGATTTGGAGGACCTCATCGTTAAAATGAGTGAGGTAACTCCTCAGACTCTCGTCTCGATCCTGTTTTATGTTGAGCAGATGGGTGGCAGACTTTTGTTAGTAGCGTCCACCAATGAACTGTGCCACAAATGATCTGCTTAGTTCGGCGAAAGAGCTTATGGAGGCTGGGGTGAGTTTGACGAACCATTGTCACGCTGAT